CGAATTATTCAGTGCGACAAGCGCGGACAAATTATTGAACATTAAAAAAATGATTCTACGACTCGAAAGATTTATGCGTGAGACGATTTCGCCCGTTTCCCGATGTCGCGAAATATATCGATGTCTTGTGTGTTCAAATATGACGCTCTATTACGTGGGCGATAGGGCAGGTGGATACATATCGCGTAATTAAGATTATTGGTACAACAATAAAGATGCTTATGACGCAATACGGATGCGGACTATAAACGATAATTTACGACGGGCCGTATCGAGTGTACAATTATATATACAACCGCGTACGGAAGCGGAAGTTAAAGATAAATCGCGGTGAGCTGTGGGATGATTAGGCGAACGTGGGATTAGGTTGCCACGCAGTTGTGGGTCTACAACTTGGCTGCTAGCACAATTAGGCGCGCACCATGTTACTATCGTTACACGAACACACACACACATACATCAGCTCAGACACATATCATTCGCAGAAATCGCATATGCATACGTACACGTATGTGCACGTATTGCCATGAAATCACACACATACAGACGCAAACACCAGAGCGAATGCCTCTGATTACCCGCGGCCATTTGCAGTTTTGGATTTAATGTGAAAATACGTGCGGTAATTTACTCGCGTATCATCTCGCGTAACGGATCGGTTAATTTGATTGATTTATCAATATCACCTTTTCCGAAATTTATTTCCCGAAAGCCCGGTGTTTTTTACTTCATCGCGAAATTATTTATCTGTTTATAATTACCTCGTACACATTTCAACGACATTAATTATTGTCATAATTATTCACAAGTGCATACGTATTTATCAATCACGGCTATATTCATACATATCGTAATAAATTCGGAATTTCGGCAGTGTTTGTAAGGTCTTATTTTTACAGCTTACTATGTTATGTTAAGGCTTTTTTTTTTTTATGCGTACATGTTTGTTGCGCACTCAGCAGCGATGCGGTATGATACCGAGAACGCAATGCAGAAATAGCTTTTATGCAAAGGCACGTACATATCGCATGCATACGCAAACGACATGTCCCATGTTTCCTGGGGCACTTATTCCTTGGACCGTATTAGCTTTTCCGTTCCTTGCTCAATTTCCATTTCCATTAATCACCGACATCCGCGTACTTCCGTAACAATCGGATCCACTACTTGCCCGAATATGGGCCCCCCCTGGGAAATCTATTCCGGTGACTTCGCTGTAACTTTTTTACGCATCATAGTTTCATGTCCAACTTCAAATCGCGACATTTCCTTCTTAAGTGCCGCGTAAAAGCGCAGTTTCTACATTTTTAAGTATTTTCATTCATCTGCGACTTGCCGTTTCCTTTTGAATTCGTAAATAAACCAGAGTTATATTGTAAGAATATTATGATAAATTCAGTTCAACGCTATTGTGCAATGTTACGACGATCAATGTAATTGTTTAAAGACGCGAATTAATCTATATAGCGGTTAGTTTTAGTCCTACTTTTCACGTAATGTTTTATTCCGTTGAATTTAATAAAATTCTAAATGTTTGCCAAAATTCCATCTTATCATCTTATCATCGCGTGAGTAGGTCATCGCGTTTGACGTGTACACTGGAGTGGATTCTCGTGAGTGTACGTATCGCATAAATCACTTTCACATATCATGCATTATTAAATAGTACCTGTAATGAGCTTCCAAGTGAACGATTGTTATAAGAGAACTAAACGAGAGTAAATTACCGCAACAGCAGGATTCGGGAACTAGCGACATTTCACAATTATTTCCGGCTAATCGGTTTACTTGCAGGCACAATTTGGAGAAAGAATTTCTGTCGTAAATATCTCACAGAGACACTCGTCGCATTTATCACTGGCCGCGGGTAAACTAAAATACAGGGCACAGAACAGAGAGCTTTATCATGAGTGTCTTCTCGTCGGGACGAGACGACGGCGGAGTTTCGCATAAATTTTTCCACGACCCCGATCTACTTCGAACGCCAAAGAAACAGGCTGCTCGTGAAAATAGTAGCGCGATCCGGCTACTCTCAACCAATATTCGGATACTCGACATCGGCGATCCACTGAAAGAATCATTCGAAGACGACTGTGCGTTTCCCCTCTCGATCCCGCGAGTTGCACGGTCTCGACGAGCGGACACCGAGAATCGCACCTGCATATCATCGATATCGTTTTCATTAAGTGTCATATCATTAACCGGGGACGGGCGCGAACCGCGCTCGCCTCCCAATCGATCGATGTAGTACAGCGAAGATTTCTTAAGGCTTCTCAACCTAGCGGATAGCGCCGTCAATTGACGACTAGTGTCTAAGTGAATTAAAGGAAACTACGTTGTTAAGGCCTAATAGATAACGGAAAAATAATTCGTTAGAGAGTAATATCACACATACACGCCATACAGAATACATCCATATATGCGGTGTTTTGGTTGTTAAACAAACGCTTGTCAGAATTACATTCGCGAAGCGATACTGTATTCCGTGTAGATATACATACCGTTCAGTTTGTGCGCGTTATACTTCCTCGCCTTCGAGCGCATCTTCACGTCACTCACTATTATTATCTATTACGCACGATATATTATTTATCGCATTGGCTATTATGCGAAATAAATTAATTATCGATGCCGCGCGAATTTCATGCGGGCAAAAATTGCGCCGCGTGGTATCGGAAATGTCGCATCTAATTTCACTATGCGACAAAATTTACGAGTTAACCGAGCGCTAATTTAACTGTCGCGCAACGAAATTTCCACATATATTGTGAATAATTAATCTGCGTATCGTTTCTGCCGGCAGAAAACGTCACTTCACGCCGCAAACACGTAGCATGAATTTTCGGATAAACGATGAAACGAGTTTATGAGATGATAAAGATTATTTGAGCAAAATCACCCTTTATATTCGAAATTTTACGGCTTCACAATTGTTCGCCTATTTTTATATCATTCTACGATGCTTTAATCAGCGCGATGCGGCATTTTCAAATTATTTCATTGCGACCAATGGTAATCCTTATTGCCAATTAAAGCGTTCTCATGCAACGGTTCATTACAAATGCAAATTCATGTATAAGCGTACTGCGAAAATGGGAATTAAGCTTCATACTTTATTTACTCATGTTTCGACGAGATGCTCTCGAAGGCCACCACTTTGCGACTATAAAAAAAAAACATGAAAACGAAAATCGTCATGATCCAGCGTTGTCTAAGCTTTTTAAACGAACAGAGAAGAGGAAACCCTTTTCGCGAGGCGGTTTAAAAGAAAGAGAGAATGTGAACGAGCGACAGAGCGGGAGAGCGAGAGCGAGAAAGCGAGATGCCTGAAAGCGAGGACGAAAAATTGTAATTCGAGAGACTGAAAACCGAATGACAGAGTGTGCAAAAGGAATGAGAGAAAGAGAGAGAGAGAGAGAGAGAGAGAGAGAGAGAGAGAGAGAGAGAAAGAAAGAGAGACAGCGTTAAGGGACGAAATATACCTGTGGCTCTAAACTCTAAATATGTACTTATTACACTTGTTATGCTATCGATAAGTTTATATTATATCTCTATCGTGACAGAATTTACGACGTATTGTACGTGATATTATATTTATACGGGCTGTTACACACTCTATCTCCGAAAACTTCCATTTCACCGCGCGACCGAGCGAACGCGGGTTTAGCACGCGAGATGCGCAGGAGTGCGATAAGGAGGGTAAGAATAGGAAGGAGAGAAGCGCTGTCGGGGACGAGGAAAGCATCCAACACGCTAAACGGCACAGACGTATCCCTTTTCTCTCGCCTTCGCCCGGAAGTATCGATTAGTCCTCGAGATTTTCGTGTCGGAAACTTTAAACCGACATAGCGAGTCTTTTATTGAGAAAAATCGTTATCGGGATGTGCCGGGAAGAGCCGGGGGAGGGCGGGATGGACCATTGTGGAGGAGGGTCAAGACCTCGGGTTTCGCGCAGGCACGAGAGCCTCGGTTCAGCGGAATTTATCGCGAGTCCACGATGGGCTCGAGCGAGCGAACGCGCTGTGAATCCAACCGGCTGACAGACGACAAAATGCCTGCGCTTCCTCGAGGTCGCCGGCGGGCCGAAGGTTGATTAATGGCGACAAGCGAGACGAGAATGGGTTCGACCTGTCCGGTGAACGAGAAAGGGATTAAACGGAAAATGGTGGTTCATAGTTGGATTGCGAGAAAGATGGAAAGAGAGAGAGAGAGAGAGAGAATACGTTTACATCGCACGTGACGATGCAGTTGGTGGAGTTGGAGAGTCCGTGAGATCTGCGAGGAACAATAGACGGGCGACGAGGAAAATGCAGCTGCGGGTGCGGAGGGAAACGAAGCGACTGCAGCCGAGAAATCCTAATCAAAACCAAGCGGCTGGGAAAAGAAGGAGTTGAAGGAGGAAAAAAAAAAGAGAGAGAATTCCAGTTGTAAGAAGCGACGCGAAGGGACTGGTCTTTCAAAAGACGCGCGCAAATGATAGCTTTCCCCTTTTCCCTTATTCTGCGCCGGCCGACGCGGAAGAAACTATCACACAAAGACTCCCCTCGTAACCCAGCGATTTCCTCTGCGCCCTTTGCTTCCAGCTCTATCCACAATTTCTCTCTTAGTTCCATAGCGATAGAACGAATCACAAAGCAGAGCATTGTGCGTGCGTGCGCGCGCGCGCGGTCACGGAAATTAAAGCGAGAGACTCATTCCGCGGTTTTGTAATATCCATCCAGCCAGACGGTTATTAGAACATCCATCGCTTCGACGTGGGGAGAGAATGAGGATTTTCAAGATCGCTCTGTGAACCACGCTCGTATCATCGTTACTCTCGCTCGTTGTCTTCCTCGCACCGCGTTCCGTGGTCGCGCGCCTTTTATCCAAGACTGTGTAATTATGCGAGAAGTAAAACCCTGCGCCATTGCGTTCGCACGATCGGCATCGCGCGATCTCCATTTCGTTTTTTAAACTGTTACTGAGCTTGTTTTTAATAAACTTGTTTTTTTGTTTGTTAGAACGGCAGCGGGCCGGGCGGCGAATCCGGTGGACGAGCGAACGGGTAAGTGCTTTGCGTCATTATCTTTCTAATTAAGCCCTTAATCCTGTGCATTTGTTTTTTACGGTATAAACTTTACGTACTTATTTCAGCGCTGCTGTATAATTAATCGCACAACGATAATTTTAAATAGCATATAGTTTGTTTTACCTTAATCGGTTTCTGCTTTGATCCAAACCCGATGGTTCCTAAAGCAAATAAAATACATATGAGAAATATTTATATTTCAAATTATCATAAATATTGAACTATTTTTATGTAAATCCTCTCTCTAATATATTATCCAAAATAAAAAAATTACAAAATCAAATACTGGAAAATTTCGGAATCATGCTCTCATCGTATTTCAATTTTGATAAAATACATTCAAATTCTCTCTACATTAAATTTTCGCAAATATCATTTATCATCATTTATATATATATATATTTGTATATATATCATTCACATAAAATATTATTTTTCGACATATATTCTATATATTCGTAATTTCAAATATAGCAATATAGCAATATTATGAAATGCATGAAAAAATGAGTATTTACTTTGTGATATATTAGATGAGCGTATATATACTCTGACGCGTCATTTTTATAAAATTTTATATTAAATGTGAAAAAATAAATTGTGCGCGATAACGGGAAAAATATGTGTCTCGGTTCTCCAGAGAGATGATTCAAGGTAGCTCAATCGTTTTTCTTCGAACGTCATATGTGAAGCAGTAAAAAAATCGGTGATAAAATTTTTTCCAATTCTTACATGCATCAATATTTCCAATGAATTTCCCTTTTGAACCGCACGAACGGCCTGTCATTATCTGACATATGAGAAAGACTGAACTATGTGAGTGGCAGCTCTTAGATCTCGGGAAAGCCCAGATGCGCGCCATACTTTACCGCATTCTTTTTCCCGAAACAAAATATCTACGATGCAGCAGTGTTAAATCAAGCGAATGTGTTTCACATGATATTTTTAACAAATTTTTGCACAAAAAGAATCACATATAAAATTTATTTTTGACCGAAATTTTTACGGCTTACTTTAATTTTCATGTACATTTCGCTTCATCACGTTTTTCGCAAATTTTTAATTTGTCAGATACCAAAGAAGTTCGATAAAAAATTCTGAATATACTTTCACGCTTATGATAAATCAGGTAGGAACAGATTTGCCGAGACTTGGATTTCTTGGAAACTTTCTAACAAGCACAAATTTCTATCGCGTAGGTACCCCGCAGATTTTCTAACGCCCTAAATCTTGCGAGAAAATCTTGCCTAGAACTATTGCTAAACTCGAGTCTGCAGTTCGATTCAAAAGTTCAGTTCATTTCCAATCCGCGCGGAATCGATCACAGGCTCATCGTGCGAACGCTTTATCGTCGCTCATTCCTTCCGGTATCGGACTATCCGGACGTTCCAGCTTTTAATTGATTTCCTGAAATTATTCCGGAAATTTATAATATTGTGCTTCAACGGTCAAGAATTACATCCACCGTTTGCGATAATTTCAACGTGAATAGAATTTTTGTGATAAATATCAATAATAACGATGGTAAATATTGGTAATGGTATAATAATAACAAATTAAGGCTACGATATTACAGCAGCGAACTAGAATGGAGAATCGACACGATCGTAGATTCGCGCTGGCGCAACTTCCGAAATCTTTTTTTTTTGTTACAGACATCCAGGCGACAATCCTTTCTACAGCACCATCGACAGCATGCCGGACATTCGACCGCGACGGAAGTCGATACCATTGGTTTCCGAGCTGGTAGGTAACCGATTGCCCATTAATACCATTCTGCCATTGTCTCCGCGTATACATTACAATGTATAAGTACACCGTGTACACACATACATATATGTACATTGCCTGGACCGTCCGTACATATATTCGTCGGAAATAATTACCGATCCGACGAAACGTTCTCGTTGTTGTCGTCAACGTTATCGTCGTCGTCGTCGTCAAACATTCCTTAAAATACGATCCCTCTTCACTTCCAGCACTGCGGCACCGGTTCGACCTATCTCGATCGTTGCGGCGATTATGCGCCCGGTTGAATTTAATTAATTCGCTCAGCTCGAGGCCGTTTCCTAATGCGCGCGGTTATTTTAGAATTTTAACGCGTCCCCCTCCGTGCGCGCTTTGTGACTCTGTGCTCCGCGCTTGCACTCCGGCGGAACGTAAAATGAAACAGAGCCAGAATTAATTGCCACGATATGCACGACGTGCGCACTTTTGGTGATGCCCACGCGAGATACGTGAGAACTCGCCGCGAACGGCGGGCATATAAATTATAATTGCGAACGCTCGCTGATGCGGTCGAACGCGTGGAAATTTCTGTAAAGCACATACATTCGGTACATTCCGCAACACCACTAAATAATAATATAATATATTTTTAATATATATATATATATATAACTAGTCTGCCATCTAACATATCGCTATATCTATCTTCGATGAAATACGACCGACTGGCGGATGTGATAAATCCATTTGCGAGATGCTGCGAGTGTCGAAGCGAGCCGTAAAATGAACTGACATTCGCCATGCGATCAATCGGGCGACACGTGTATCGATTATGCTAATGCATTGGATATTCCAACGATCACGACCGACGTTATGGTCGTTTTATCGCGTTTTCCTAAGGAAAGGCTGGGCAAAGGACCACACCTCGCGTTTCCGCTTCTTTTATGAATATAAATTAACGAGCACAGCGTGAAATTATAACTAAAAGTTACTTCGAATACTTAATTAGCTTGTCGTCCGACAAAAGCATAACAACTAGCCGTGTTCTCTCGATTGCAAAACAACCATCGCTTCTTCTCCAACTTCATCTTTATTGCGCGAGACGACGACGGCGACCCGAAATACCTTTGTCACGAGATCTAACTCTATGTATCGTATACGACGCATCCGAGGACACGACGTGAAACGAAAGCATTTGGACAAAATGGAAATTCTGAGAAATATTCTCGTATTATAACGAGAAGCATCGTGAAGTGAAAAGTCCTCCGATGTGGCTCGTAACGAGCGTGTATCTCATCGTGACCTAATTGCGTGTTTTACGTTTCAGTGTTATCGTCGTTCCCCGCGACGAACCGAATTGCTAATTTTTCTAAAAGCCGTCGCAAAGTGTGAACGATCAAATTTAACAAAATATTTTTCTCCCGTGTAAATCCTTTTCTTCCTGAAATTCCTGTCAAATAATACATTTCATAATCCTGAAAACGTGATAGATTGTGGTGTCTATTTATTAATATCCTAAATATATTCATCAATAAGTAAAATAAATCCATCAGATTATTAAACATTGATATTTTTCCTGTAATTTCATTATTTCGACGAAGTTTCACGATTAAATGGCGATTATGCTCGCGATCGGCGAGGACACTCCCCGTAAAATTTAAATTTGCAATTTGCTGATGCGACCGATTTCCAAGCGGTGCTTTTATCTCTAACGGATCGATCGAAAATGCTTGAAACTTGCGATTTAAAATTCGGATCAGTCGGTAAACCGCGACGATTTGTTCCGTTTGTCAACGTATAGACGATGCGCGGAACAAAAACAAGCAGTCCGCGAATCCTTTTAAGTAAATCGCCTTCCGCGATAACGCATTTAGATCAATCAAGTAAGAGTAGCTGAGAAAATTACGTCTAAATTGCAAAGGAAGAGAGCGAAAAATATACATGAAGCGCCGAGAAGATATAAAGGCAGGTGACGTTCTGTATATTTTTTTTTTCTTCGCACCGTTATTATATGCAGCATAATGACGCGCGTGCCCCAGACGATAATAAAAATGTCTTGCCTACGTCACGGATGCCATTGCAAGCTAAGTGCTCGCGTGTATAACTAGTGCGTGATGCTTTAAATGAAATTCTTAAGTAGTTTATCGATCCGCGCTCCGGAGAAAAGCGCTCAGCGGGGATAAGTGTGTCGCGCAAAACGTGATTTAATTTAACGCTAAGAAAGTGAGACACCGACGGTAATGTAATCTCGTCAAATCAAAATTGGAATAACTGAAAACTCGAGTTTTCGACTGACCCATTTAACGATTGGCGCGTTTCACATTGAAAATTGTAAATCTTCGAGATTATTTAAGAACCCCGATTAAAATTTTCCTGTTATGTCGGTTTAATGTTAGAAAATTCACCGATCCCACTTCTTTCTCTCTCTCTCTCTCTCTAATATTGCACTCCATTCCCGAATAGAATCCTCTACATCTCTTTAGATTCCCGGAGTCCGATGTCTGTCTTCCTGTATGTTTGTCTCCCTGTTTAATGTTAACAATTTATAATTGTTGTGTATCTCATATATAACTTGGAAACCTAAAGTTTCGCGACGTAAAATATATTTTCATGTGATATCATGTCGTGAATAAAATTTGTCCAGGCAGTTCGTGAAAAACGCGAGAAGATTACTGGGTTATAACCGCGGAGCGTTTTTGCGTCATTCGTCGGAAAAATTGCAGTAGCAGCGGTAAACCACGCACTGCACCTGCATCAGTGTCGAACAAACGGAATTGACTGACCACGCGGAAAATGCGATTATCGCCCAGTAATTTTGGCCGTTAAATTCACCACGGAGGCATAAATTTCTGAAGTGCAAATTATTACTGTTGTCTTAATTTAGCATCACGAAAATATATAATATTTTTTTTCAACAAAAAAAAAAGATATAATTTAATTTTCTATCTTTTTACACCACGCGGTATTCTCAAATTATGCTCTCCGTGCTGAATCAGTCCTAATTACGTTCGTTAACATCGTCTGTGTGCCTCTCTTGTGGTCCTAACTTTTAAAGTATCTATATCCATATCATAATTAAGAAGAAAAAATCGCAAGTAATACACGTACTAACCGGCATATAATGCTATTTTCTTTGTTTGTTCTCTGTGGCGCCCGTTGTTGTATCTACCTGAACACCTGAAAAAAAAAACAAAACCACTCACTGAAAAAAACCTCTCAAAAAATCTCAAAAACTCTACCTCCAGGTCTTGAAGGTACTAATTAAATGCCTCCTTAGCCAAGTCAATTAAAAGCTTGTTCAAATGTTCGCATGTGGATTTTTTTAATTTTCTTCTATTATTCTCACTAGCTACGTATACCGTACCACTTTTTCTTTACTCTTTCACTTTCTTTCCGTTTGCTGTACGGTTTGTCTCTCTTAGTTCTTTGCTCTTTACTGTTTTTGCGTTTTAGTTCAGACATGTGTTCTTTTTCTGCCTGATGAGTCAACGGCAAAGGGAATATGCATGCTTCCCTTGCTGCGAATCGTTGAAAGTGGCGTTCTTCCCGGCTGAAGCAGGAACAATATGTAGAAACTTCTTGATTACATCTCCGATTTGATATCAGTCTGTTACACGTGTACTCGTTAGTAAACAGAAGCCGGTGTAATTTTGTTACCTGCCGGACATGCAATTCCTATCTACCGCGAATGAAATATCGAATACGAGAAAATAGCGCACCAAGTCTCCAGCGACTCGTTCAATTCGACGCAGTCGGTGTTCTGATCCGTATAATTAGAAACAGCAGATGTTTGCGCTTCAACGAAACGCACTGTCGTCATGCTTTTTACTTGTAATTGCGTGTTTTTGCATGCAAATATTGATATAACTATATCTTCGATAAGGCAAACGTCAGCAAGAATTAAGCGAAAGCGGATTAACAATCTAGAATCTAGAAGAATTCTCTCAGACAATTACCTCTCTCGCGTGCATTTCAATTTAATCTACGATCCAATAGTTTCTAATCTTTTGACAAAGAAAGTAATTAGTCCCATCAGATAATTTTGTTCTATTTTCGAATCTTTCTCACCTGCATGAAAAATTGTTTGCTGTTAGATCATCAGTATATCGCACGAATGTCTTTGGTAGCCATAGATACGTGTGTTACGAATAGTTACGAAAATATAGTCGTAAGTAGATATTTTAATGAGACAAAATTAAAAAAAAAAACAACTCGTTTTAATTCGCTTCGACTCGTTTCATCTAAAGCTTTCTCTGACTTGCTTATCCTTTCTACGTTTCTTTCGCTTCTACACCTCGCTTCTACGTCTCGACGGCAGCGAACGAGAGAAGGAAGCGAAGGAGACGGACGTTATTGTTAAGAAAAACAATATCACGCGCTACTCTTACGGGATAAAATTAAATTGCCGCGGCGCCCTTCGTCGCTCCTGTGCAACGTCGCAGCGTCCTTCGCCTGATTAGGGGACGTATTAGAAAAACAGTAGCGCGACAACGTATGCGAATTACGACCGATAAAAGCGAGATTAGTGCGCGCGGAGTAACGCCCGATTATATGGACGAGACAATAGCGCGTGTACGGTTCGCGGGGCGCCGTGCATAATATCTTAATTGAAATCTATGGTAACCACAAATCGTATCGCGCACCGCACCAGACGCCATGATCTAATTGGATTAGATTCTCTCTCCGTAGAGATTACGCTTTATCTATCTTTCTTTCCTTCTTCCTTTCTTTCTCTCTCTCTTTCTCTTTTCCACTTTCTACTTTTCTCACTCTTGTCTTTTATCATTATTCTAGTTGATTTATAAACTTTCTGGAATCTTCACTCCAATCACATTTTTTTATTCTTGCCTTTCGCTATTTTCTTTCACTACCATTCTGTCTTCATTCTAATTTCGATCTTACACAATATTACGTCTAGCACACGTACATACGTACACATTTGCAATCGACATGCAAATCCACGTTGCACTGAGACTGCGCTCGACCTTATTAAGCAAGGTCAATTTCTGATTAGTCTCTCGTACAATTTCCGTTTGGAGTCTCGACATACGAGAGCGTATAATCCAAACCTTCGAATCGGATCTTGTTACCGGTTCTGATGTGCAGCAATCTTGTTTGTTGACCGTCGAATTAATCATCTCCCGTGTCTCTCCACGTGGAGATTATCATATAATAAATAATACGAAATAATACGTTTCAATCCCTAGCGCACAAATATTTGCGCACAAGTATTCGAACCGACTTCTCGTGCGCGTTTCGTTCGTAAAGTATGCTCAAACGCCGCGCGGTCAGTAAAGCTACTTGTTAAATTTGTAAAGCGCTTCGGGAAACGCGCGCGGCTTGTCCAGATATGTAAATGTCAGCCAACTATTATACATACGTTGGTGCGTTAAATATAGAAGATCCGGAAAACGTCTGCTTTAACATTTGCAATACAATCCCTTAGCGTACAACTTTTGCAAGGGTTTGATGCATATATATATAATAAATATATATATATATGTATGTACATAAACTACATTTATATACCTACTTCATAAAACTTGTAAATAGAAGTTGGACTTCATCGATATTTCACTTGGCATGGGAAACTGTAATGTCACCGCTTCTTTTACGTCACAAGATTTCTCCACGGCTTTGGATTTGTTTCTATCTCGCAAGTTTTGCCGACGTTACTGCAGCAGATGCAATTTAATCTCGATGTCAAGTTGCTTTTTAAAAGTGTACTCACAGTTTGATATCTTTAAAAATCTATATTATTATTCTTAAATAATTCTTACAAGAAATTCTTTTCTTGTCATGTCACGCACTTTTTTGATTCGTAATTAACATTTTAATCTCGGTGTTGAAAAATATTTGTAAATAACACCTCACGAAAAACTCTTTTTCGTATTTCTTTTCTTTCTTTTTTTTTTTGGTTTTACTCACGTTACTCACAGCTCTCGAATTTATTTTATTTATTCTACGCTTCTTCTCAATCTCTTGTTCATTCTTTCTCTCTCTCTCTATCTCTATCATCCTTTCAGTTTCTCAGTCCCAGGACTTTACAACTGATTATGCAATAGAGAGACTGGAAGGCGTTAGCTCTGTATCAGATGCACATTAATCTTTTATCTTTTCCCAGACCATGGCGGCGACGAAGAGGAACGCTGGCCTGACGTCCGCCGTGCCTCGAGCGACGCTGAACGACGAGGAGCTGGTAAGGACTCGCCCTTTAGTCATTACACTTCATCATCGCCACTTCGCGTCACCGGTTAATAGACCAGGAGATACGTGTTTGCCCTGTATGAGGAGGGTTTGGTCACCATCGCGCCGCCCTGTTGGTATTTAAGTACTCTTTGCAAGTTACGCTTAAAAGGAGGGACAGCGACCAAGCTTCTTTCCAGCGGCATTTTTCAAGACTGTTATTGCGCGTTACGGCGCGGCGCGCCACGTTAGTTAGTGCGATATAAATCATGAGGCGAAGCTTAAGAGCTCACTTACTTCCTACCGAGCTGCGTACCCTCGCGATGATCGAGGGAAGGAAAAAAGTTTTCTTTTTCACGTGAAAGTGAAAGCAAGAGAACGCACGCTTAATTCCAGCTGCGGAAAAGAGGTATTTAGGACGAAGGGTAATATCGAGAAGAAATATGGAGACAGGTGACAGGGTGGAGTTAGGTCGCACATCATTTAATTTTAAGTTTCAATACCGGCGGGAGACCGGCGCCGAAGGAACTCGACTTAACCACTGGACTTTCTTTTCTTTTCATACGAAACGTGCCGCATTTTATCCTCATTTCCACGCTATTTTCTTTCACGTAAGTGTGACATAGCCTGTTTTTTGCTCTCTCTCTCTCCTTCCTTTAATCTTTATCTATCGCCCTTTCACATTTTGTATATTACTCGAGAGCAACATGTAGCGATCTAGTGTAAAGGACATTAGCGGTTAGGACGTGCGAGATACGTATATACGTACGCGTGAATCGGCGTGTACGCACACATATGCATGCACGTATAAGAAGACGTACATACATACGTCCTCATTAGGCAACCAAGTAGTAGTCGGAACGCACACACGTGGATACGTAGGACATACAGGAGTCTACGGACTATCACGGCGCAGGGTACCGTATCAAAGAGACATAGCTAGGGCTAGTGCTAGGGGTTTCCGATGCCTGTGACGTCGGATGTTCCTCGTATGTCGGGTAATTGGTGTCCTCTTCCAGGTCACGTGCGCGCGATATTCGGTAACGAGACATCCAAACCCCGTTCAAATTCGCGATTTATCCAAACGCTTCGAGAAAAGTAAACGATACTGTACGAGCTGAGATTCAATTATCTACCGCGCAGCATACGCTAACGCGAGATTCGGATGCGATGATATTTATTCGAATGGATATATCTTTGTAACGGTTCACAAAGGAATGTCAAAGTAACGCGGCAAAAGATAACTGTCTATCAGTCGCTTCAATTTTTATCTCGAAATGCAGTGTATACGGATTTTGAAAAATTCAAGCACTGTGGGAACATCCGGAACTCACACGTTAATACTATAGTGCTTCTTAGCGGATCGATGCTTTCACACCCCCGCCCTCGCCAGATAGTCGAACGACGTTGCGTAGAAAACGTTGCCAGAGCTCAATGCCAGAGCTTCTCCGTGTGCGGAAGCTCGCGGAAAAAAAAAAGGAATTTTTTTCGCGAAAGTCGCGAGAAGAGATAACGTGTGAATATTCTCGAACTTCGATATGAAAAACATGATGCAATTTCGCCTTTTGATGAAGAAGCTCGCGTGTGTGCTCGCGAAGATCTCTTAGGTGATCCCTCCCCAAGCATGGAACAAGAAAAGATACCCGGAAGAGAAAGAAAACGCGATAGAGATGCTCTCGAAAACCGTACGACGACGAGAGTCATCCTTTTTGTTTTCGAGAGGCATGAGCAAGTAGATATCGAGGAACCTAAAACAGCCTCTTAGCGTATCCAATTCGCTTCTGTTGGAGCTTCACAAGGGTTTCTTTGTGAAACGTCTGCATATGGTCTGCACATGATTGAGAATGCGATTAAGATCCAAAGGCACGAAGATCCCTATTAATTCATGAGGGAGGTTTTGCGAGAAACCGGCCGGACAAAAATGAGCGCTAATCCTTCGGTGCTCTACTTATAATTTGAAATGCAAAATTCGTGGATTAAAGCGAGTAGATTCGAGTCATTTCAGAAAAATTCTCATGCATATTGAATATCAATAGAAGTAATGTGAAATCAGCAATAAATTGAAAGAGCAATTTTCCTAAAAGGTCAGGCTAAAATCGGCTCACTCTTCAATCATAAATAGCCTCGTTAATATAATTCTTGTTATAATCTGATATATCGTACAACCGCGCGATCGATTTTTCATATACGCGCGGATAATAGAATTTTATAGCGAGCGCGACGTTCACTTAATCATACATTCGCTCGCGAAACGTCGGGAGTTCAATGTATTCTTTTTCAGATCGCAATGAATAGAACGCTCGCGGAATAATATTTGAAAATTTGATAATTGATGTAAAGCGCATTATATCGATCGCACGCCACGTTCGATATTGGAAATCGAGATTTGATGTGCCTTCCGCCATCGATTCTTCCAAAGGATTAATAATTCACGACAATGTTCGACGGTATCATTCCGCTCGTTCGAATACGTCGTAATACGTTAACTTTTACGAGTGAAGGACCGAAGTGGAAAAACGAAATGTCTGCGTAAACTACCCACCCCTTCCCGTCTCCCTTCCGACTTTTCTCCTCCGCTTTCTCGAGTACTGTTCTCCATTTGACGCAATCGCGATCAAACACCCGCAGAAGATGCACGTGTACAAGAAGACCCTGCAGGCGATGATCTATCCCATATCGTCGACCACCCCTCACAACTTCGTCACCTGGACGGCCACGTCGCCGACCTATTGCTACGAGTGCGAGGGTCTTCTCTGGGGTATCGCTCGACAGGGAGTGCGATGTATGGAGTGCGGCGTCAAGTGTCACGAAAAGTGCAAGGACCTGCTGAACGCCGACTGCTTGCAGCGTGAGTAACGTCAACACTTTTACTGTAACTTTACTGTACTTGGTTTCTCCGCGAGCGCAATTTCCGTGATTATGAAATAATTATTACTGCAAAGAAGGATATATCGAATTAATTATTTACTCACTACGGTAAATTGTCTGACTGAATTTCACGAGAAATATCAAGTTTTAATGAATTAATGTTGTTATTCGAAGTGAAAGAAATAATTGCTATTATTATTTAAACAAAGACGAGGTAATCATAGCCATAATCGTGTATTAAAACATTTCCTTGACGGACGGGGGGGGGGGGATAATATATTTTCAAGTCCTCGAGGCGTCGAAGTCACAAAGGCTTTCCTCGCCAAGCAATAAGTAACAGTAATTAAGAGCTCGGGAGCCATCCATTAACGAGTGGGCAGTAGTAAAATCGGTTGCTCTTTGGCGAACGAGCAAGAACCGAGTGAGGTCGGGGAAAGCTTCGCGGTTCGTTAAACAGAGATTAGAGCGAATGAACGAGCTCGACCGGGCATACATTCAGTCGCGATCAGACGACTATTTTCCTCCTTCGCTGCTTTTACGTGAATTAATTATTAATTTGCTATGTAAGACACATCGACATCTGTCCGTGGCTTCTTGCAGCTACGCCGCTATTTCCGTAACCGGCCGGCGTCAACTTGTCAATAAAAGGATATTATTCTCGTCTGGTCGGAATTGATTCGTAACAAGATAATCGGACGATGGTTAAAGCGCGCCAAGATAAATTTCGCGCATTGACCGGTCTCGTGGAAGAATAAATTTAGGCGGAATACGTTCGCAAAGCTATCTCGCGCTTCGGTCCGATAAGGAAATCAATAACGACGCAATGGGTTTTATATAAACCATTTCCAATGTCTAATAATCGGGAAGTAACGATATTTTTAATGCCGTTCATCAGATTTTCAATTTGATCCCTAGCGGGATCTTTGCGTTCACTATAAATTCTCCTTTTTGTGTCTGGATACTATTCACTATCGATTTGTGTAGCGCGCTTTCAGACTAATGATTCCTATCCCCCCTCCATGCCCGACTCTGTCCTCGATAAAGTTTCTTTCCTTGATCGGACAGTCCGCGATTAATTTACAGCCTCTCTCTCTCTCTCGCTTTGCCCGCGCAACTCGCCGCACGACAGTTTGCTCCGTAATTCCGTTCTCGATTAATTTCCCCCACCGGTGTCCGTTGTAATTTCAATGTACCGGGTGTTTCGCGTCGTTTTTCCTTCGTCGGCCTTCCTTCCTTTTTCGTGCAAATCGCGGTATTCGCTAACCGCTTCGCAACGAGATTTCCAGTGATAATTAAAATCCACCGGTGTCGATGGTCGCGAATAGTTCCGATGCGCATTCGCGTGCAATTCGAAATCCATTCGATCGACAACTGCGTATCGAATCGTATCTCGCGTGCGAAATAGATATTTCGTTACCACATACTATCATCAACGCTGCATTTAACATATCTGATGTCCGGGGATTATATGGTAATCAAAATTGACGCGACTATTATGCAACGCGCAAAATGCACAGTCATCTGTCATGATTTGCGGTGCATCGTATCTTCTAGTTTGTATATAATTTTCTGAAATACAACGCCGGCCCGTAGCAACACGCGGTGTTGTGTTATTAGCAGCCGCATTCAGTCGATATAATGAAGCGCGAAAATATTAGTATTACTCAATCGCTGCCGATCATACGGCTTCACGCGGTATGAAACTCTACCTCGGAAAAAATAAGAACTTTGTTTTATCTTTTTTTTCTTTTTTTCACTCAAAACGTTTCATCAGTTGTTACAGCGAAAAACAGTGCCGCGTGCGCACGTACAATAAATCTTCTTTACGCGTAAAACACATTTTTCTCTCCATCAGAGATTGTAAAACAACGAGAATTTATCGACGCAGCGCGGAGGCGAAAATAAGAATTATTCTGCAACAAATAATTGGACGCAAATATTTAACTGAAAACCCATTTATTAATGCGTCGTTAATAAATATGAATTAAATATTCTTGTTCAAATATTTATAAATCTCGAAAATATTTATATTTCGCTATCCGATATGATTTTCACAGGGGCGGCTGAGAAGAGTTCGAAACATGGCGCCGAGGATAAAGCGATGAGCATAATCACGGCGATGAAGGATCGTATGAAGCAAAGGGAACGGGAGAAACCAGAGATCTTCGAACTGATTCGGTGAGTGTTCGCTTACTGCGCTCGCTTCTTTTTCTACTCTTCTTTTGTCACAGCCGCAGAAGTCAATGCAAAGCAACGAGAACCGTATTGTCGACCGTCGGCAGTTCGGGTTCGAGGACGAGTAACATCGTTCCGAATGTAAATCGATCCCGGTTGCAATTTACCGGTCGTCCGTCGTCACTGCTCGCTATTTTCGGAATAACAGATTCCCCAGTCGATTTCGAAATCGCTGATAATGCGCTGGTCGAGCGCATTGTGCAAACCGCATAAAGAGAAATATTTAGCATCGTTTCTGATCGCGACATGCGGCGGACTTTTAATATATACTGGATTAAAACGCATTCTCAACTCTACGAGCTAATTAACCGCCACTAACAACCCTTCTGAAGAGCTTCGCGTTCCAGTCGGGGCTCTCCCAGCTTTACGTGAGTGGAACGCAAATGCCGTTGCGAATAAATCGCCGCCGAGTTGGATCTATTCCACAAGCTCAAACATAGGAAATCGTTAAACGCTGCACAAACATCGTTCGCGCGAATATTAATGTGTCGCGACACACCCTCGGAATAGCGCGCTATGAATACACGAGAATTGTTTCACGACAAATACGGCAAACGCGATTCTCAACTCTCAATTCTCGGAAGCTGTTTTATTATCGCGGATAGTAGTGTATATACATTTTACGATTTCGCATTTTATTACCGAAAGAGTATCGATCATAATTATTAAGGTATAGAAGAAATAATTTTTCCATTTGAAACCGTGAACAGATGTCGAAAGCGCTGATCGATAATTAAAAGTCAAAAGGTGCTGTGAAATATTAATAAATCTTATACCTATTGCTTAAATCGGGCTTGCGAGTAAGGCTTGCGGAGTAAAAACTAAACTGAGAAAATGAATAAGCTGCACGGATTGCAGTAATGATGCAACATTCGGTTATCATTTCCGTAATATTATCGATTTTAACGATAATGGGAAACACAAGATCTGCTCCATTAAACAAACGTGTTACTCTCGTGCAATTAAATTATAAGCTGCTAAATAATCTCGCGAATTAATATTATCCGCTTAATAATCGACACATTGACATTTATTTATTTATTTATCATATTATTCTACTTCGAATTCCTGATCATTCTTGCACCCGATAGAAGCAAAAATATCACCGTGACAATAAACGATAATCCGATAATACGATCGATCAAATATAAATATGATAATGCAGGACGTAAATTTTGCCTCGCTCGTGAAAATGTTTTATAATCAGACCGCATGTGCGTTAAATCATTTAAAGGCATCAAAACCCGATGTGCTTACGGTAAATGATAAATGGGCACCACAGGCGGCTTTGGCACGTCGTCATCGTTATAATAACCGTCTAATCGCATTTGCGCACCTTGCGTCAATCCGTCGCATATCTGCCGTCGCCCCTGCCATAATTAATTAAGCTCCGAGCTATTCGAGATATTCCCACGCCCCACGTTACGCAGTTTCGATCTTATTACTCGAAACAGCTTGTTATCGCAGTGATTGTAAACATCGATGACGTACGGCTCCGTAAAAGCGACCATCATAAAAGCCAATTCGGCAAGCAGTTGATTAACGAAAATCAATCTTAATTGATAAAATTCGTACGAGCTGCATTATTCTGTTTCAACAATTGCACTGATAAATCGATACTTGTTTAATTAGTCGTACATTACTATGTTATGAAAATGTGTTTTTTGAGCGAATAATTGCAAAATTGATTTGCAATTAAGTGGAATTTATCCCAGATAGAATATCGTCGATAATCTTTTCAAATTATTTTCGATTCGCGCAACGAGAGCCTCGCTTTGAAATGCGTAATAAAGATGATCCCACGCTCGACACTTTATCAGCAAACGCATGAATTAATCGGCGTGCAGAATTAATATCCGCAGATATTTTCCTCATTTTCGCCGAGTATTACCGGCGTCATTTAGCTTCTCGGTAATTAGCACGCGCAAAATTAGCGAAACAGCTGCAGCGATCATTATTACGCGCCAAAGCGGTCCAGTCGCTTCTACAAGAAATATTATGCAGCACGAAATGTTATGCTTTAACATTATATTATACATTATATATACACACGAAAATCGTTATTAATTTAATATCCCAGGCGACAATAATTAGTTGCATTGCAAATTAACGCTGCTTGTATTCAGCGGCGATAAACTAGAATTAGTCTCGTAATTAATTAAAATACATAAACGAATACAGCAATGCAGTGACGACGGTTATTAGTGAAGGTTAATGTAAAGAAGAAAGCAAGTGAAGCTTGAAAGCGTTCAAAGGCCCGATCTCGTCTTCTCTGTAGGATGCACGTTAATCGCGACGATCCGTCCGGTACGAATCGCATGGCTGATCGAGCGCCTATATCTTGCTATCTGGCAATCAACGTTCTCGTTAACAGCTTGATCGATGACCAGTCGCTTTAATTAGAAGACCGTTTGTCCGACGCGTCCCAAAAATTCCCATCAATTCGGTCACCGTCGTGGCGTGTACACTCGATTAGCCTGTACTCGCGCTGTCGGAAATATTCAGCAAGAAACAGCGCATCGTTTAAACGAACAGTTGATCCTACAAAGAGAATTCGCGAAATATTACCCTCCGATAGAAGCTCGCTTGTAATCATCCCGGCGATCATTACCCTTTCACAGAACCCGCTCTCTGTAAAAGCGAGCACGGTTTTTGCCGAATTACAAAAGAATGGCTGAAAGCGTACGTGTCGATTCAAGCTCCATTCGTGCCGTCGCGGAAGATTTTTCTTTTTCTCCACGCGACACACCTCGCGACGGAGATCTTTTTTTTCTCTCTTGCAAATATCACGCGGCGAAAGATAATTTCACGACGACGGGCAGCGGATAGGACGAGATCGCGGCTGTTGGCACAGCTCATGTGATAGAGAGTCTCGTGGGAGTTTAGGTCAGTCTTCGGGGTCGACGAAAAGGCGCACGCGAATCACATGTCGTCGGTGGAGCAGTCTGTTTTGGATGGTACCAGCAAGTGGTCGGCGAAGATCGCTATTACAGGTTTGTGGGCAGCTGGCCGGCTCCTAAAAAAATCTCATCTTGTGTGCATCTCCGTACCCTGTGCTGCGAGCGGGCATCCCCGCGGTGCTCGTTCCGACGTATATATTATATATGTGCTGCCTACGTATGCCTACGTATTTTAAATCTCATGTACAGCGGGAGTCTTCCCCTCCCCGTACATATACCTAGTGCGTGTGCGCGCACGATTATTTCATCCTTCTTATTACTGTCATTACACCTTATTATGAGATTTGGCGATAATAACTGGCTCTTGGTGGCTGCCGCGCGTGGCTGTGTTGTATTGATTGCCATGAACGTATCGACATTGTACTATGACTGCCGCTGTCCCATATGTGATGCCATTGTCGAAACGCGCTCGACCATCGTGCGATAACGCGGAGATATTGTGAAGAGAGTTGTCTCGTATCGAGCTACAAATCGCGCACTACAATCGCTCACACGTGTCTCTTCTCTTTTTTTTTTTTTTCTTCTTTTATTTGCCTTTATAACTTTCTTGAACCGAGTATACCTCACGTCCGGCTGCATCGCAAAGTTCTGTCACGATGGTCGAGCGATACTTTCGTTCAACGTTCCTTGCAACACCTTGACTTATATTCTCCTATTTCCACCCACAGCCCTGACACAAACCACCACTGTATGTGCGCGCGTGTACGCTATGCTGCTGTCTTTTTCTTTTATGCGCTGCGTTTTTTGCGATCTACATTTGTCCGCTGGATGTAACGGTGTAATGTTGCGCGCCGACCATTAGTGTGCGAGACCATTAACTGGATATTACCCTCCCTTATCAGTGTCTCTCTTTTTTTTTTCTCCCTCCAACGGAGAATTATCGCCTTCGCTCGCAATTTCGCACCAATCCCAACTGCCGCCATCGCCGCTGCAACCGGTCCATTTCGAACGACGATTGACGAAATCGAGTTTGCAGGCAGTTCTCCTGTTCGCTCATTTGCCGCAGTAGCCGGAGCGCAGTTTCGCGTTACATCAGCGAAACAAAATCTGTCTCTCTCTCTCTCTCTCGTTTCCGAGTCACTCCGCGAATTTCTCCCGGAAACAACAGTTCAATTACTGTCGCTCGGTAAAGCGCGCCTCTAGAAACTCCTGCAAACGCATCTCGGCCAGTTACATTTAGGAAAAATCACGAGAGATCTCCGGTGCACGTTTGCAATCCCAGTCGACGTTTGCGTGTTGCTCTGTTTACGCATCAGCTTGAAGATATACGAGTTTCCGCAGCCGGTGAGTACGTGTGTGTATCTGTACGTGTTTGTACGTATACGTGTGTGTACGTACTACTGCGTGTCGTGCGGTCATGCCGGTCAGGTATCACGCGATGCTCCTCTCCTCCGAGGGAATTCAATCGAAAGTCCATTAAGGTCACGTGTGGCAACTTGTTGTGGCGGCAAGTATGTGCCGTTGCCATTGTCTAAGGTAAACTCGGTCCCGGCTATAGCTACCGCGCTGCCGTGAACGCGAGTCCCTGACCGATAGGCCAATATCACAGTGACGTCTATCGAAAACAATCTACCAACCACCTGTAATCTTCGGTATATTGAGGACACATTCTCTCTCTCTCTCTCTCTTTCCCCCTAATGCATTCTACTATGGGATGAGAGTAGAAGGTACGAGGCATCGATCATCGCCTCGATCGAACGTGTCAGTTCAGCTCCTGAATCGACCTGTGGCGTCTCGTGGCAGAAGTAGGTCTCGCGTGTCAAAGATGAGAGAAATGAATTCGTCTCGATAAACGCCAGATTGGCTCAGCGATCTGCGTTGAACGTATCTTATTGCGAAGTAAGTAGGTTTCGCGCGTGTCAAAGAGACAAGGACGATGTATTATTGATTCGCAAGTGCAATTTGCAGATAGATTTGTCAGACGTAAGAACGAGTGGATCAAATTGCGCGTAATTCGAACGTAGTTTTTCTTTATTTGTGCGTGGCCTTACAAAGTTACGTTTTCATTGAAGAGAAAGCACCGTCAAGTCAACTACGTGACGTCCGCCTCTCGTAAACAAACGGTGGGCTGCCGCGCGTATCGCGCGTACCGATCTGTTTCTTTCTCACGGATTGTGACTGGTGTGAAATATATCATCGGAAACACGTGCGGGAGTAGTGCGCGACTGAGGAAAAAGTATCCTGACCGAAATAACTCGCGTGACGCGCATCCCTCGCTTCTTTTGTATTCGCCGTCTCCGTTCCGCGACCGTACCACGTCGGCGGGACCATTGTGGCTTCGAACCAAAAGGGGAAGATGAATTCTTTTCCTCCCATTTCGTCGTCTCTCGTTACACCGGCGAAAATGGAAGAATAGAAGAAACATAAACGTAGCTCTTGCATGGTGTATACTTAATATTATACTTTAGCAGAGAGAAATTTAACGGCGTTGATCGATGGCCGTAATTCGAGAGCGAGTTTCGGTTTGTCGATACTTCCTCACTGTCAAACGCTTGGGAGGAAACTAAATTACCTTCTCTAAATTATTTATAATTCGATTACAAAGTTATACTTTGATTTTGAATTTTCCAGAAAGTTCTAAATGTCAACGTGAAAACCGTACTTTTAACCGCGAGCAAGAGAGCCGTTGTCATTTTTCGATGGAAGAAAAAAGAATTAAATTTCGCAGAATCGACAGACATTCGTGCTTCCACGAGCGAAGAGCTGTAACAAGTCAATCGCGTTATCCGACAGTGTCGATATAGATGCCACGTTTACAAAGTTCTTCATATCGTCGTTCGCCTTCGCGAAACGATTATTGCGACGGCCAGACGAAAGTCCCGAGTTGGCGATGGGCCACGTTTCAGTCGAGCAACAAGTTTTCTTATTCCAGACCGATAGATGCGCCCCCGGTCAGCTATAAAACGATGCTAATTCTACAAATGGCAAGGTTAACAGGTGGCGATACGCGCTCGTTAACGTATCCGGGCGATCACGATGAGATAATACGCGCGTAATCGATTGACGCTTTCTGCATCCCGCACTGTGTACTTTGGGCGAAAGTTTGGCGGAACTCGGACGACTTTCTGTGACTTTCGACAGCACGGAACATACTTGGTTTCTCGTTTACTTCAACTCTCCTTCTACTATTTCTCCATAGGATCCGCAGAGCAATCACTCTTCTTTAACGTGAAAATCAATCGCGTTACTTCCGGTCGAATTATACTTTGAGAGATCCGAGTGGTCGCGCACTTCTAAACGGCGCTCGATCCATTCATCGAATTTCGCACGCTCGGCTTGCGCTAAATTCGCGATAGGGCGTACAGGAAACCGCGTAGAGAGGAAATAGTTTTTTTTTTCAGCGATCCGCTCCGGATTAAGGATTTAAAACACGCGTCTCGCTTCGCTTTTGCACACGAGATATAGGCGAATCCCGGACAAATATCCTAGTTGCCCTGGCTGCGCGAATGTACAACCGCCGCTAGCTATAGCTGGGCTGAATACAATCGCCGCTGCTGCTGGATGGTGTTGGATTGATTGCGGACGATCTCCCGCGCCTCGTGACGATCCCATGTCCTTCGGTGGCCTCCGTAAGACGTACACCTCCTGGAGGCACGCCTCGAAGACGCCGCCACGAGAGGACTCTCTTCTCCGAGCAGTCTCTAAGAGCGCGAAATGACGATGGGAGGAGGGGGAGTACGAGAGGTTGTCGAAGGACGATCCGATGACGAGGGAATTGTCTTCTTTTCAGCACGACGTTTTCAGTCGACCCGGATACGCACATAGACAGCCTCGAGCAAGCCGAGCAGATCGTCCTTGAGGGTACCAGCAAGTGGTCCTGCAAGATCGCCATCACAGGTGACACAATACTGATACCTTTAGAGCGTTTTAAACGATCAATAACCACAATCTCGATAACAAGCCAGCAACTCGGTTCTATAATTCACGTACACACACGCTTGGAGAGACACACAATTACACGAAAACTTATCTCAAATTATGCGAACGACTTTAACAATCACCACTTACGCATTTCTATAAAAAAAAGAAACTCTCTCTTCTCTCACTCTGAATCACCAAAGCAACTTTTCTAATCATTGAGATGATACAGAATGCATCATGTCCGCGAACTTTCTACCGTTTACGGATTCAACGATGAAGTTGGAGTTAATTCCGACCGAACCGGAAACACGACTACAACTTCACCCGGCAATCCGTAATCGAGAACACCAGCGGTGGCATTATGCACTCCGTACACATATAGCTTTCTATATAAGCACAGTCTTTCACGGATCTCGATTCTCAATCACCGTGTTTTAGTGCGCACGATTTTCGATTCGGTGCAAACACGAAAGATCTATGGTACAAAGCGCCGGGCATCGGGATGATAAGCAACGGCGTGTGATATATGAAGTACACTTCGCGCTGTGCCGCTGTACCGAGTTCGAGTTCGATGCATTCCGGTCGCACCCATATATACACACACACACATTGAATTCGCACACACTGCGCGATCGATGCGTTTCGTCCAGTGGACGAAGTCAAACCCCGAGGATCGATCGAGCGGCGCGCCTGAATCTCTGACGTAACTATTGCCGCAAGTTCAGAAATATATTAAAGTTGTACAATATATAATATATAACTTATATATATATATATATATACATATATACATATATATTGTTAGCGAGAAGCCTCATCGTTTCTCGCTGTTACAATGAAAACTAAAGCAATTTGCAAAGTTCCGTCGATCGGCCGAAACGTGCTCCAGCTTAACATCATTCCGGCTGGAAACGATTTAAATGTATCTCAACTCGTAAATTACCCTGAATGCATTTCTAGAACGACATTGTAGTATCGAGTCGATAAATAAAGAGTCAGTGAATTATGTCACTTATCTGTGCCGTCCAGAAATAGCTGGAATCTTCTTGACCACGAGCTACGTTTGTAGCCGGCCACTTTTATTTCTCTCGATTTTTATCAGATTGCCGCCGCCGCTAACGCAGATGCCAATAAAAGTAATAAGCCTGAGGCGTATCTAACTTTACAGCATTACAAGTAGCGTATGTCATAGAAAATTACAGTTCTCCGTTTGAAATTGCAATCGTAGCGAGAACGACATGGCAAGCGGGAGCAAGTTGCATATGTATGGCGCTTCTCTTCTCGAGGGGATCGATAGTTCAACGTACAGACAAGTGTAATAGCTACGCTCAGCCTCCGCAGTTCATCCACGTCGCACGTATAAAACTAAAACGCGTTTCTTATCTGCATAAAGCAAGTACAATGGGGTAAACAAGTTTCATTAAATAAAAAATATCGGAAAAATTATTGCCGACAATATTATCCCGTCGCTTTATATCGCAAAAGATAATGCTCGATTCTCATTTAATATTTCAAATGCGCAAATGCAACGGAGAATGCCGGGGAAATCCGGATTGACGCGGATCCTAAGCCAATAATAAGAAGCGCGATCGAAATACGATCGGAGACGTTACGTCGAAGACGCGCCGAAAACGCGAGAGAATAAGAGGCGAACAAACCGGAGGAGCGTCCGATGGGATTCGACTTTCTTTCTTTCGTCACTCCCACAACTGCCGCCGATAGTAAAATCCACAAATGGTGGAGCTGTCTCTCGTCGAGATGTGCCTGCAGCCCTGCACACCCACTGCGGGAATTCGCGCATCCCGCTGCGAGATAGAGAATATCCAGACTTGCGAGCGGAGAAATTTTCTCGACAGCTCTTAAATAACCGAGGCACGTCGAAAGGCTTTAGAAGACGATCCTAACATTTTGATTGGACGTAGGAAAATCTCATATCTTCCGTGATCGTATATTTTACATTTCAATAACGACATGACAATTTGTGCGGCGCATTTCAACTCTTTTTCGCGTTAATCGAAGCCGAACGAAGAGCTGCTAGACGCAAATACGGGGAAATACATGGATCTTAAACGAACCATACGTAATTTACCGTAAACTGCATTTTGTGCACTTAGCGTAATGCGAAAGACGGACGAATGCCAAGAGGCACTTTATTATTTATGATCAGCTGAAAAAGGTAGATGAGGTGATATTTGCGCGCCGGAACGCCGTTCCGGCGAGGAAAGTCGATAAACAGCGAGCATGGTGCGGCTGCGACGGAACTTTTTTCGCCTTTCAAAAGCTGCCGAGGTATCCGGTCGACGCTTTCCTAGTGCGCCGCTAACGGCGGAAGTAGCGAGAGGAAAAAGGAGGTCAAAGGTATGAAAAAAAGAGGTTACGGTTGTCCCACGTGAAACAGAGATAAGTAAATAGAACGCGGTGTAAAAAAATAAATCGGCAGAACGGCCTGCTTTAGATGTCGTTGCCGCCTTTCTAAACCTTTTTCTTTCTGCCATCGAGTTCCTTTCCGCGCGCACTTTTATACGCGCATACTCGGGCGAAAGCGAGCTTAAATAATCAAAAAAAAGGTGGAAGAAAATTGAGATAATTTCCGGTCGAGTTACCTCGCTAAGAAATTGCCGACCGCCGTTGTCAACCATCCGTTCGGTCGTTCGATAGACCGTTCTGCTCATGGCGTTTGCTCTGATAAAGAATTATATCGAGGAGAAAGAAGTAACGATATCGATCTGCAAATGAAATGTACATTTGGACCTCTCTTATATAAGAAAAATCAAGCGGCATACAGTTTTAACTGATATAAAATACTAAAAAACTGTATAAAATAAATAAGAGATCAAAGTTCAAATACATGTCGAAACCGGACCAGATTATTTAATCTGCCTTTGTAAACAGAATCGTATTTTTCATTTCACGTCGTTTCTACGACTTTGAGAGTAATCTGATTCCGGTCGTGCACTCTCAACGCAAGTTTAGCGGCCGCCATACGAGATCGAAGGAAATGAGCGACCAAACGGAGGGTGCCGGTGGAAGAGGCGGAGCGCGCGGATAACAGTCGGCGCCACTTCCTCTTCCGCCCCAGTAATCAAATCTCTTGACTCACCGGGCGCAAATTAAAATAGCCGAGATCCCTCTCTGCAGATTGCGCCCGAAGGTCGATAAGAGAGACGCGGGAAGAATTGTGTTATTCGTTATTCCCGTCGACGCGGAGAGAGAAATAATAAAAAGCGCAGTACCGCTGAACAATCGTGCGCCTAATCGTGACGTGGCGTGTGCATCGCCGCAGTGTGATCAATTAAAAATGCATGCAGCTCGCGGCTCGCGAAAACCTACGCGTTAAATTAGCGGCGTGTTCGCGCGAGATTGAACTCGTTTGCGGAGCGCGTGGCTCAACACGTAGAATCGATATACATTGATAACGATCAACCTCATATCGTGTACACACGCGAACCAGAAATTATATACGTTCGATATACCGATGATAATTGCGATATTTGCGTTGCATCGCGGTCACTCGGCGAAACGCGGATGCGACGTTTTCTTTTTTGCGAAAACACGACGCGTTGCAACGCGACATACATTATACTCTAGCTTTCAATATTTAAAAATATCGAATTAGCAAAATGTCAATTTATAACGGATTGTGTAAAGCGCGTCGTGACAGTATAAAACGTGCATAACGCATTCACTCTTTGCTCGTATATATCATATCGTTTAACAGCAGGGAGTTTTCGACATTCGATAAATCTGCTACATTCATAATGGTTTGCGCGCAGTTCCATAAAGCACTCGATTTCAATTCCGAGCGTGTTTTCCGCCGCGTGCCGATTTACACAACACCTTCCCAGTCTTAAATGCATCGCGCGCAAACTCGGACGAACCAATATAGCATAAATCGATATTTAAATCTGAACGTGCGTAAAACTGACGCATCAAATTAAATAATTGTTATTGCATATACGATAACATTTTGCGCGTCATTATTTGTCAAATTAACGAAGTAGAGCTGTTCGTTTACGTCAGACGGCGAGTGCGCACGTTATGCCGTGGCGTATTACGCAGTTGGTTATGCAAATTACAACACACAGACACACAAATACATATACACGCCGAGACTCTTGACACCTCACACGAAGTGGATTGTGGCGATGACTCGATGATTAATGAGATTAGGTGAAATCGACATTCGTCGACGGCAGGAAGCACCGGCGATCGTCCCCACTGCAATCGGCGGTGCGAATCGAAAAGAGTTAGTAGCATGGGCATGTGTGTCTGTCCGTCGATCCAAAAATTGGAGCACGTTATTAATATATATATATATATATATATATATATATATATATATATATATATATATACATATACATATACATATATACATATAATAACATATATATCTATTTATGTCAAATATCTCCTTTAATGTTTGTGAATTTGTATGCCTGTATGTATGTGTGCACATACACATACATACGTTATTGATATATGTACACGATCCACGCCGAGCTTCTGCACGCTTTTACGATGGCTGCCTACAATGGATATCAAGTGTCCGATCCAAATGGATGTTGAGCCTTTGCATGCATCTTCACGACGTGTATAATTATTTATGACCTCACGTAACGATAAATCAAACTTAAAAGTATCTCCCCCCCACATCGCCTTGCGATGAATATCAATTAATTCATCTGCATTCATCGATTTCTTATTCGCGCTCATATACGTTCTTTTTTCTCTAAAAATTAAAATCCACCGCAAATTCTTTTTCTCTTTCACGCGGAGTTAAAGTCGATTGTTTTAATTGCGAGTTTGAAGAGTTTGCGAAAAGCGCTGAGGTTTAATAATGGAGAAGATACAATAGGAGCATCGACTTTTCTCAATTCCTCGAATACCTCGAGATAAAACCCTCGTGGGACTCAGTACATTTTCAAACTACCTGTTTTTAATTAAATTCCCGCAAAAAGCAGAGTCATATTTATTCATTCGGTGAACGCGGCGCACGTACGAATAGATGAATACGAAACGTTTGAAAAAAAAATTCACTCCGAATTGCCTGCTGTCAATTATCCATGAACGCTGAAAGAATTATATCGGTGATGATGAAAAATCGAAACGGTTCGTAAATTCATATCTCATGCTTCCACGCCGAAAAACAAATTAATTTTCGTTTCTCTCTCAAAAATTGGTGATTATTAGAAATTAGCGAAAAATAATAAATAGAATACCTATAATATATTTTTGCAATTGTGGATTATTGCCGACGTAATGCAGTTTATTTATCAATAACATGATACGAATTACCTTTCGTAAACGCGAAACCGCCAATCTGCAATGGTGGATTAACGCCAGCGGCGTTGAATGTGCATAAAATACGCATACGTCGCCAAAATCGGAATCGAAGCGGGACAGTAAAATTTTATTACTTCGCGTGTGCGGGCTCGGTTTCGAAAGTCATAACCACGGCTGTTTATGGCCGATCATACGGATACTGTGTCTCGATTCGGAACGACGATTTGCCGCCAAACGATACGAAGAATTCCCAGGATAGATCGTAATCCCTGACTCGTTTGTCGATAGTAGTGACGCTTTTAAGTACGCGAATCACGGTCTCTTCGTCACGAGCTCTGCCTCGAGAGATTCGCGAATTCGAGATTCTACACGATCCTCTTATTGCCGCTATATTTTTTTTCGCGATTACGCGTGAGAGGAAAATTCAACAGAGACATCACTATTCGGGAATTATTCAGTGTGCGTGAATTCGTGGTAACGCGTTCGTGCGGCTGCAAATGGAAGTGGCGAATTTACAGCGTTGATATTTTTTTTTTGCGAAATAGTGCAAACAGATGTTCCGACGGATATCCGATTCTGTTAGCTTTATTGGATTAACCCTCGCAGTCGCGTTCTTGGATACTAGCCAGCTGGCGAACTTTGGTCCTAATGTTTTCACTCGGACCGCTATTGTCCGGTGCTGATCTCATTATGTATACCGCGAAATGATATATTATAGAAATTTACGCGTTCGCGAATTAAAACTCTCGCGTTCAGAAACCATGCCGTGGCGCGCGTTCCAGGCACTTCAGCCCGATAAGCAGTCGTCTGATCATATTCTTCTCCCGTTCCTTAGTGATCAGCGCCCAGGGATTAATCGCCAAAGATAAGAGCGGCACATCTGATCCATACGTGACGGTGCAAGTTGGCAAAGTGAAGAAACGCACGAGGACCATGCCGCGAGAGCTGAATCCAGTCTGGCACGAGAAGTTCTACTTGTAAGTAATTTCGACAAGTCTGCCAAGTACGCTCGCGGAATTCGTAATTCACTCCATTCTCAATCTTACTCCGACATTCTCCGTTTTCACAAGCAGATGACGTCAATTGTCGTGTTTATTCGCGCATGTTTACGCCCATCGAACCATGCATATGTTTTCGAATTGAGATATTAAATGCGTCAGCTGCATATGACAATATTTTCATTACTAAATTAATATTAATAATAATATTAATAAATTGTTCGATGCTGCGAGAAAAATGTATTTTAATTTAGTAACGCGAGTACAAGTTATTATAAAAAAATTCACGTTATTGAAAACGTTATTAAAAACGAATCTCCATTCGCAGCGAGTGCCACAATTCGTCCGACCGGATCAAGGTTCGAGTGTGGGACGAGGACAACGATTTGAAATCGAAGCTGAGGCAGAAGTTGACGAGGGAGAGCGATGACTTCCTCGGGCAAACTATTATCGAGGTGCGAACTCTCAGCGGCGAGATGGACGTCTGGTACAATCTGGAGAAGAGAACGGACAAGAGCGCGGTGTCCGGCGCTATTCGGCTGCACATCAGCGTCGAAATCAAGGGCGAGGAAAAAGTGGCGCCTTATCACGTGCAGTACACCTGCCTGCACGAGAATCTCTTCCACAGCCTGTGCGAGGAGAACGGCGGCATGGTGACGCTGCCTCAGGAGAAGGGCGACGACGCCTGGAAGGTCTATTTCGATCCTCCCGGCGAGGAGCTCGTCGACGAGTTCGCCATGCGCTACGGCATCGAGAGCATCTACCAGGCGATGACGTGAGTGTCGTCAACGACATTCGCTATGAAAATCGACTATCCTTATCCCTCTGTAACTTTTTCAAGTATACAAATCCGATTATGCTACTTTATGAAAATAGTTTCTCCACTCTCAATTCGAATATCAAGTAAATAATTTTTAAGCTTATTATTATAATTAGAATTATATTAAATTAAAACTAAAATTAAAAGGGGATTGAAATTAAAATTAAAATAGAAAAGCGAATTTAAATTTGCTCGGAATGAAATTTAGTTGGGAATATCATTTGAGGTAAAATTGTAACTTGAACCAGGACGACCTGTTTTATAATACGATCGCAACTTTATATCGCCGACCGATCTTATATTTTTCAGGCACTTCCACTGCCTCTCAACTAAGTACCTGTGCCCAGGCGTGCCGGCTGTTATGTCGACCCTCCTGGCGAACATAAATGCGTATTACGCCCACACGACCGCGAGTCCGGCCGTGTCGGCCAGTGATAGATTCGCCGCCAGTAACTTCGGGGTGAGTGCCGGATGTTGAAAGTCGCGCCGTGCGCGTACACCACGCAAGCAGTAGGGTAGGAACGTAAGAGAGTGAGGAATAGCGGATGCTGGGACCCGGTGAGAAATACCCTCGCAATTTCCTGGCCAAGCCAGCGCTATCCGTTATCCCACCGCTGCTTCTCATATCCTAGACAATCGCGCGTTGACTTGCGCGCTTACCGCCCAACTCTCTATCAATTACGTCCTCTCAGTGGATCCCGAGTGAGGGATCAGCTGACGCGGATATTCAAATAATTACTTTGCAAACTTTCGAAAGGGATTAAGTGACGCTCCCGGCAGCGCCGGAGGAGGGCGCTTTGAGTGAAATCTGAATCTCCGGACACTTAGCGGATTAGAACGGATTTCTTCTGAGAACAATGATCTGACTTCTCGCCGTAAATTGCAAAGAGCAACAAAATCTGAACGGGAAATATACGCGGGGATCTAAAAAACCTGTATTACTGTTATGAATTTACGTTTGGATAAAGGCCAAGGTCGTGCCTATATTTATAATAGTAACTTCATTGCTCATTTCTTAACCCACATTTTTTTAGAAGGAAGGAAAAAAATAGAAGAAAAGCATACACGCTAGTTAATTAAGATTTTAATTAAGATTTTCTTCGACCGCGTTCTTTCGCCACTATTTCAGCTGACTAGCAGCCAAGGCCGGTCAAATGGATTTTTCCCTGCCACGTAGAAAATATGGAAATTCTTTTTACGTTCCTCTACGCAGATCGACGTATCCTCTCGGTTCCCGTAAAACAACGAACGATATGTGGGTCGAAATTTCGCACAAAATTTGAATTCTCAAATACTTTAAATTCGCAAATCTCTTAATTCCAGTCGAACTACGGCTGTAGTTTAGGAGAGTGTGTTTTTCATATTCCTGAATTATGCATGATATTCTACTTCAAAAATATTACGCGAAATTTTACGGAAATTTTACGGAAATTTTACGGGCCGCGAAAACTCGCCACGATGAAAAGACTTTGAGAATCGAGAGAAAAACTCGATGAAGGAGCCTTTTAGCGGAACACGCATTTGTAAAAAGCTCTCGAGATAAAATATGGATTTATGGATGGACAGCGTAATTTTTGTCCGAAAAAGAAGGAAATCTTAGCGCAATCGTGATTAGCAAATGAAACAGGCTAAATAAATTTTTCTCGTTCGTAGAAAGAGAAATTCGTCAAGCTACTGGATCAGCTGCACAACTCCCTCAGGATCGACCTGTCGATGTATAGAAACAACTTCCCGGCTTCGAGCCAAGAGAAGCTGATGGACCTGAAGAGCACCGTGGACCTGCTGACGAGCATCACGTTCTTCCGCATGAAAGTCCAGGAGTTGTCGAGTCCGCCGCGCGCCAGCACCGTCGTCAAAGACTGCGTGAAAGCGTGCCTGCGATCGACCTATCAGTTCCTCTTCGAGAACTGTTACGATCTGTACAACAGGGAATTCCAAACGGATCCGAATGAAGCGAAGAGGGACACGGACGATCACGGGCCGCGGCTGGACTCGGTCGACTTCTGGCATAAACTGATCGCCCTGATAGTCTCGGTGATCGAAGAGGACAAGAACAGTTACGCGCCCGTGCTGAATCAATTCCCGCAGGAGCTAAACATCGGCCAGCTGTCGGCGGCCACTATGTGGTCGCTGTTCGCGGTGGACATGAAGTACGCCCTGGAAGAGCACGAGCAGCACAGGCTGTGCAAGTCCTCGGCCTACATGAATCTGCACTTCAAGGTCAAGTGGCTGCACGCCAACTACGTGAAGGACGTGCCGCCGTACAAGGGCGCGGTGCCGGAATATCCGGCCTGGTTCGAACCCTTCGTGATGCAATGGCTCAACGAGAACGACGACGTCTCGTTGGAGTATCTCCACGGTGCCTTTAGTAGAGATAAAAAGGAAGGCGTAAGTGATGCGCCGCGTGTCTTCATCTACTCGATATTGTTTGTTTTTTTCCCCTCCTCTCGACAGTGTAACGTTCTCTAATCGTTCTTCGACGTTTTACAGTTCCAAAAGAGCAGCGAGCACGTGCTCTTCAGCGTCTCCGTCGTCGATGTCTTTACGCAGCTTACGCAATGCTTCGACGTGGTGTCAAAGCTCGAGTGCCCTGATCCAGAAATCTGGAAGAGGTATATGAAGAGATTCGCGAAGACCATCGTCAAGGTCCTGGTGGCTTACGCGGACATCGTGAGGAAGGAGTTCCCCAGCCATCTGAAGGAGGAGCGAATTGTATGTACTGGAGAAGAATTTCCGCCGAGTGACTTAACTAAATATCTTTCTATTCCGCAGGCCTGCATTCTGATGAACAACATCCAGCAGCTTCGGGTACAACTGGAAAAGATGTTCGAGTCGATGGGCGGCGACAAGCTCGAGGAAGATGCGGCGAACATATTGAAGGAATTGCAACAGCAACTCAACAGTGCTCTGGACGATCTAGCTATACTTTTTGCGAACAGTTTAGAGCCGCGAATAACGGTCTCCGTCAGGGAGCTAGGAGATCTTTTGCTGGCCATCAAAGGCGGAGGCCAGGGGACTCTGTCGCAGCCGCAAAGGAACAACGTGACCGCGGAGGCCGACGATGTTTTGAGGCCGCTCATGGTTCTGCTCGACGGCAGCTTATCTCTGTACGCTGAATCGTGCGAGAAAACGGTACTGAAACGACTACTGAAAGAATTGTGGAAGATCGTGATGAGGATCTTAGAGAAGACCGTCGTTTTGCCACCTATGACGGACAAGAGCGTATGTTGATCGTGATCGCGTTGCGACTAAATTTTCAAATTTAAAAGACTGATAAATTGAACGATGTCTACTGCAATTTATAATTCTTACTTTTTGCAGATGATGTTTAAAAATCTGACGGATAATGCCAAGAATCTCGCTGCGAACGCCAAGATAGAAGATATGTCGAAGCTATTTAAGAACCACATGGCCGGAAAACCCGACGTGAAGAACGCTCTCAGCGGTGTTATGGTGATTAATCATTCAGACACACTAACTTTCCGACAAAAATTAAATTAGTAGGAATAAATTATTCGAGTTAAATAAATCACGTGAATTAATTAAAAATAAGAGCAGTCATTTCGGCATTATGTTAACTATTCATTTGCCTAGGATATCTCAAAGGAAGTGGAAAAGAACCTTTCACCAAAGCAATGCGCTGTTCTCGACGTCGCTCTGGACACAATCAAGCAGTACTTCCACGCCGGCGGTAACGGCTTGAAGAAAACGTTCCTGGAAAAATCACCGGAGCTGCAGAGCCTCCGTTACGCGCTGAGTTTGTACACGCAAACAACGGACACCCTCATCAAGACCTTCGTCACCTCACAAGTCAATCAAGGTATGTTACAAATTTATCATTCGCATTACGAGTATATAAGCGCAATAATAACGACTATTATTTTTATATATGTATTTGTTTGTATCGCGAAACGCGATGAAAGAGAAATTATTCAGGAACACACACACCGAGAGCTAGAGTTAGACACAAACGATATGTCCTAACGACACATTACATTACACATTCCGTTCGCGCAAGCATCGCGCGAAGGATCGGAATATATCGGCGTATGCGTTTTCACACTTACATTACGACGTAATAAAAATTGTCGGGACAGTGCCGCTGAACGACGCGTCAACGCTACATCAGCGTCAGCGCTCGATGAGCAGCGAGAGAGGTGACGAAGGGGAAGGAGCCGAGGGTATGGAAAGCCTCGAGGAACCCCTTCGCCAGAGCAAGCCCTCTCTTCGTCGAGAGAGCCGACAAGGTACCACCAGACCAGACCTTAGAAGGTCGCGGGAAGTGTCGGAGAGAGTTTTAGGATGTAGTGAACTGATCGTTGCGCCGAAATGTCTTTCGATATCCACTTTTATTCCCTATTTTGCTTTTAACATATATTTATGTATGTTGAAATTATATATACAATATATTATTTTTTATATATATTAATTATATATATAATATATTATTATATATAATTGCAAATAGAAATATAATGATAATATCTGATAGCATTTGAGTTTGAATTCTAATATGATTTTTTTTATTCATAAAAAAAAAGAATGCTCCAAAGACGTCTCGACAATCGATAGCTGTGTTAGGAAGTTGTGCTGTTATCACTGCCGCTGCTGCTACTGCCGCCACTCTTGCTGCTACTACTGAGAACTTAACCGAACCGCAAATTGCCTCTTTCAGTCTCATATTCTTTTCAAGATAACGCTTTTGACACACATACACACATATGTGAAGAAAACTTTGCCTTTGGCCACCATGTCACCACACACGATCTTCTTACGAGCGAGTAGCATAATTACTCATTATTGCCTAGCGCTATAAATCATTTTATTCCTACAATGAGGTTTCCAAGGAGCGAATATCCAAGGGAAGGATTCACAGATCGATCGATGGATCATGCTTCACAAACGGAGGCATCATGTGGACACTTGTATCACACGCACTGCATTACAGAGATGATTATTCGGAGTTCTCCGAACTTTGAAAATAATTTTTCTGCTTCTCAATGCTGGACCGACGAAACTGGAAAATTTACAATTCTCAACACACGCTCTGTGTGGCTATGGAAATTTTGCGGTGGCTGACTTCGTCTTCTCTGATAATTACGCTAATGAAAATCGACAAATACCCGACAAATAGCGTGCCTATTATCGGAGCATGTAATCTGCTCTAGAAATAGCGACTGAGAAATAGACTGTATTAGCTTTAGTTTCAGATCATAGTGTCGGATAGAATCAGACGAAGTCCGCGTAGTCTAGATTTGCCATTTCTAGCTTGATACGCTTGTCGCATTCGAGCGTGAACTTTAATTGCAAACTTGTAAAGTTCCAGATACCTCCAATTCGGACGAGGGTTCGGTAGGCGAAGTAAGCATTCAAGTAGATCTCTTCACGCATCCGACAACGGGAGATCAGAAAGTCACTGTCAAAGGTAACTTTCGCGTTAAAGGTAATTTTCGCGATTTAGATAAAAATACTTAATATAAAATCAGAAATTCATAAAGAAAATTGCATTTTTAGTTGTGGCTGCGAACGATTTGAAATGGCAACTGGCAACGGGCATGTTCAGACCGTATGTTGAGGTGAATCTAATCGGTCCGCATCTCGCTGGCAAGAAGAGAAAACAATCGACGAAGTCGAAGAGTAACAACTGGTCGCCACAATTCAACGAGAGTTTCGACTTGTAAGTGAAATCTAACACTTTTCCATAATCACGAAATTTTTACCGACAAACTTTCTCCTAATTCCTGTCTCGCCTTTATCTTCAGCATGATCGGTAACGAGCAGCAACAGCTAGACTTCCACGAGTTGCACATCTGCGTGAAGGACTACTGCTTTGCGAGAGAGGACAGGCTCGTCGGAGTCGCGGTAATGCAGCTCAAGGACATCGTCGAGGAGGGTTCGTGCGCATGCTGGCTGTCGCTCGGCAAGCGCATCCAGATGGACGAGACCGGCTGGACGATCCTGCGCATACTCTCGCAGCGCAACAACGACGAGATCGCCAAGGAGTTTGTGAAGCTGAAGAGCGACATCAGGCAGGAGACACCGCTGCCGAATCCTACTTGAGGAGATGCGGCGCAGCGTTAATAAGCCGACAGCGAAGCGATTCGAGCACTTCGAGCTTGGAAAGAGCCCGAAGAGGAAAAGGAGGAGGAGGTGGAGAAGCAGGAGGCCGTCCAAAGGGAGTTAGCGTTCGATGTCTTCGGATCGAACGAAACCTTTCACGACTAATTCCGCGGGAAAAGAAGAAGAAGAAGAAGAAGAAGAAGAAGAAAAAGAAGAAGAAGAAGCGAAGAAGACGAAGAAGAAGAAGAAGAAGAAAGAGCGACACGCGAGAGATATGTAATCCCATGTGATTCACGCGGATCGCTCGACGCGAAAACGATCACCCGAACCCTTCCGCCCTTCTCCGCGCGACACGACAGGGGAGGGACAATTCCTACTCAGCGAGATTGAATTTGTCGCGGAACTTCCTCCCTCCGACTTCCCTCGCGCCGCAGAGTTCGGTCGAGCGTGTTTCCTCTCCGTTTTTTACGAGTCACACATACACACAGAGCTTCAGCCCCGTCCCTGGACAGCGACGATGCACCCGGGAACCACCATCTTCCACTGATCTCGAGCTAGGAGGTACGAGACGAGCTAGGTCGACCCCGCGTGGCTCGGCGTGCGTCCGGCTACTACTACTACTTCTACAATAAGGAAAGAGGGGCGATTCCTCCCGCCCGCATTTCGGAGAAACTAAAGAAGAAGAAGAAGAAATAAGAAAAGTAATCGAGGAAGCGGAGCTCGGCAGCGACGATGACGAGCGACGCCCTAAAATACTAATACATAAGACAAAGAGACACATCGGACTCTTCTTCGTGCGAGTGCCGCAGGCGAGACACAAGGAGAGGGGGAGAAAATGGGGATACTGAAGGAGAGAGTGTTCGCGGAGATGAAGAAAACGCGAAAACGTGTTAAACAGTGCTGCCAGTACGCAATATATTTGGTAAATATTCGTAATGTAAGATTAGGACGAGAGATCAACAATCGCGAAGAAAAACTGAAACGCCGGTGCTTCGCGCGGAAAACGCGACGGACTCTCTCGGTCGGACGCGCCGCTGTTGAAAGACTGAAACCACAGAAGACGGAAGGACGAAGAGCGGGCCCGCGTACGGATCGGATCCTTGACCGCGACGCGGCCGCGCTAGCTGCTAAAGCAGGGAGCGAGTCGAGCGTATACATACAGAACGAGGCAAACACGTCGAGGAGGACCGCATACACGAAATTTAACACACACACACACACACACACATCCCCAGACATACATATACATACAACATGTATACATGCGCGCGATACGACCGCGTCGTTTCTAGGCCGTTTGTTCGAAGAGGACGAGTTTACTGTAGATACGTGAAAACACATTGTTGACGAAGAAGTTTTTTCTAAATATACAGTTTAAATGTAGCATTGCGTACGACCAAATAGGCGCGCCCTGTGACGTCACTCAGCGGCGTGCCGTTAGTAATAAAAACAAAAAAAAGTTAGTAAGGCATTGTAATTGTAAAGTAACGTTCTTATTCGTAAGATTATATCAGAGATGATCCGTAAGAGTCTGATTGCTACTGATACTGTGTTGCCGCTGTTGCGAATGATGCCGAGATCCGGCCGGAAGCTTCGAGAGTCCAGTGAGTACCGCGCGACATATCGATTCCCACGATCGAGCGATAATTGAAAGAAACGCGTGAAGATTTCACGCCCGCGCCTCCAGAAATCGGTTCGCGTATGTATGTGTTTAATTGTAAAGTCGAAATTGAGATCACGGACCGCGTTGTGAACGCGAACTTTCCCTTTCTACGAACCGGCGAGCGAACCGGTTCTCCAAAATTGAACTTTTCGCCCTTACAAACAGCGCTGTCGATGTTCCATGTGTATCCGATTATCTCAATTGTTATCCGTGAATGATACCTAAGTCGACAAGGTACAAAAATTATCCGATCCATGTTGATAGAATCGCTCGTAATCTTGTGGCGCGCGCGCTGAAATAATTATACTGTAGCTTTTTGAGTCTTTAAACAATCGCTAACAACGGGTCTTTCTCACCAACACGATACGCTAAGACCGGATGTTAAAACTATCGCTATTACTACTGCGTTACCGTCTCTATCAGCTTCATCGCGTTTCTTGTTTCGTCTACTACTTGTACATAGCGGACGTTCGTCTGAAACGTTCATAGAAACGCGTCTCCGCGATCTTTCTCACGAAAATTTGTATCGGATCGGTGGCGAAGGGACAATTGAGAACGATCGCGTCCTCCGCGCGACAGTCGCGATCGCACGAAGCTTCGGTCGGATCCCTCCGTGAGAGAAACACAAATGCACGCGACCTCGAATCCGATGGATCCAGTCATCGTCCAGCCCGATACAGAGCCCGGGCAGGCAGGTACAACACTTCGGAGATTACGCTATTATATTCAAAAGTTTCTACTACGTAGTACGTCTAGATTATACTTACGTATTGTGTATAGTGTCTAAACTGCTGATGTAGCTGCGAGCGCGGGATTAATGACCGAGGAAAAAAAAAACAGAGAGAGAGACAAGAGTCACCCAAAAACGAACGTTCGATCGTCTCAGTTGCAGGTGCTTCCCAAATATAAATATCGAAATTTCACAACACAAATTCAAGAAAATTCTAGAAACTTGGAAAAAAATTGATTTTATAATGTCAAGGAAAGTAAATTAACATATTTCAACCAACCAGTAAATTAATTTATATTCATTAAGTTTAGATAAATTTACTCGAGCTCTTATGCAATTCATTCATTAACATTATTGAAGCATCGAACTCTTGAAATATATATCTTCCATTATTATTAGTATCTTGCTAGAACCCTTCGATTTCAACCGTTCATAAATCGATACACGAAACACCCGCAACTGAGCCTGTCGTTGGCGTTGTTGGAAATCCAAAGAAGCAGGAAAGAAAAACACGGGTCCGCGACCTCGCCACCATCTTCATTTGTAAAAGTGTCTATTTTCTCCGCTGCCTAACTAAGTACATTTACTGAATATGAAAGGGCTGGCGAATTCGGCACCCAGATCGGCCTCGTCGACGACACACTCGGACGATACATCGTCACCCGTTTCCTCCCGATCGACTGACAAGCCTCGATCATTGGAAATCTATCCGCAATCACCCGCGATTGTCGACGGGGTCGGCCGCCAATTTTTCCTCCTACTCTCCGCTTCGATTAATATCTTGTAAGCTTAATGAAAATATCTCGTGTATTCTGTGATAATTACCCCTTAAAGAGGACACTAACATGCTACACTTTACACGCACAAGGAAACATACACATAGATACACGTACACGTACGAAGGGAGAACCGCAGACGGAATCCACATATACGGAGATAGAGAAGATTGTACGAAAGGACAAACATAACAAAGATATAGATATGATCTATACGCCATTACACCGAACATAGCAACAGTATTTTTCTTCTTTAAACACATTCCCATATATTTCTTATTCTCTGTAATCATTAAACGTCCGAGGAGTCTCGTCGGGATGGTGACGAAAGTGAGAGACAGAGAGAGATATATATATATATATAGATATATATATATAGATATATACTATGTATAGAGTGATCCAGGCTCGCCTCCACTTCCTTTCATCTACCGATCCTGTGACCAATTCGCGGTTGATTTCTCCTTAGCGAAAGTTTGATCCTTTTCCACAACTTTCTAATGTTAAATTCTAAGTCTCAAATAAAAAATGCTATGAAAGTAAAATTCACTTCGAATTGAATAAAGGTTTTAAAGGCTCCGTCGTCTTCTATTGCACGCCGAAGTTCTTGTCGCTTTTTATTGTCTCACAGTTAACAAAGAGTTAATCGTTATACCTCGACACATTTTGTTAAGGAAAAATACTCGAAATTGATCGGAGAGTCCGTAGATGGGGCGCGCGGAACCTGGGACACTTTGTGTGTACCGCAATAACAAATCATAATGCTTCACCCGCGATTTTATCAGCCGCATGGATAATCAAGCAGGTACGGATACGATATACAGACACGAAAATTACGGGACGCAAAAGTGTGCCGCGCATAACGGCAGTGATGCTTTCGGTCTCGATGTACGATTACGCATAAGAATGGCGCGATTAATCGATAGCGACGAGAAAGAACGCGATCCAGCCGTTCGAAGAATGTAAAATGCTATGAGTGAGAGAAACTCTGAGAAAATCACGTTCAAACCAAATGTTTTAGCGCGAGTAATGGAGTTTTACAAATTTCTTGCCTTCCCTAAAAATCTGCTTCTTCATAGTTTTTTACCATTCATCATGCTGCAGATTATTTAACACTCTGAACACCTCGAATTTTGTAAATAATATGTCAATCGCGGGAAACATTCTCGTCCCGAAAGATTAGAGTCATCGCGGTCTTCGAATCGATCCGTCGTCGCTCTCCAGATTTTTTCGTACGAAAGAGGTACAAAGCTTTAATGGAGGTCAAGTAGTTGCCTGTCGAAGAGGAAAAGACTGTCCGTAAAGGAATGCCGCAAACTTTTGCGTCCATGCAGAAAACCAAGGCCAGAAATTCAAAGTTAGACATTCCAGACCGCTTTAAGCAAGACGCGTTAGTAAGGAAACGAAAGATCAATGAAACTAAGGAGAGATAAAAAAAGATATACACAACTGTTGACAATACTATGCTTGAGAATCGTATGACACGTATGTAATGTACCTAATAAATATATAAAACAAGACGGGATGTTTGTGTTTCGTAAGTAAAAGCGTACTAAGAGTATTAAACTCGTAACAAAGCGCGAGAAGATTGCCGCACTCGCGCAACGCGAAAACGCCGCGTAACTTTTGCGCGGATCGCCGCGGTGGTTTATTAGGTAATTACGTCTAACGAGCAAAAAAAAAAAAGAGAAGCAACTTCGTCGTCCCACGGAGAGCGCCGTTTACTGTCGAAAAACTTTTTCAAACAAAGGAATACGAAAAGAGAGAAAGAGAGAGATTTCAACGACACACAGCCGCTATGCAGGCCATGAGTGTATGCAAGGTGAACCTAAGCAATTGTATCCGAGTTTTCAAACACGCACATTCACAAAGAATATCTATTTACTGAGAAAGAAACGGAGAGAAAGAAAGAGAGAGTACCAAAATCCTCCTTAATAAATGTTTCTGTTTCTTCACTCACACACATCGGCGAGTTGTTCTCCAGCGAACTGGATGCGCATATATATGTATATAACGCTACACATATGAATGTACACGTGAGATACATGTATACAGACAGACACACGGACACGCATTCACGGGCGGGATAGCGCTTGTGTGACTCCGCACTCACACGACCGAAGCACCGAACGCACGCGTCGTCGTTACGACGTTTCCCATCCCGCGAGCGGATCATCATCGCCATCATCATCATCGTCGCGACGAGCACCAGTATTGTCCTCGCTAATCGATTCGCTCGAAACACGATGACAATTCGCTTGTACCGAGCGGCGATTGTGCAATTTGGACAAGCGCGTTGCCTCCCGTAATCCTGACAATCCTGGTGACATAAATACCTAGCATGACGCAATCACACGGAGGACGATCGACTTGCATCAATCGCACCGTTCAATTAGAGATAGAGATCCCATATACATACGTCACTCGCCTCGTTTTAGGAATATTATCACGCGTCATTCATCAATATCGTGCCGCACGTTAGTTAGCGAATGAAAGAGCTATAAAAGGCGTGAATCTTTCCTTTCAGTTACAATATATCTTATTTGTATACGTTACTGAGAGATATATGGATTGTAGAATAATTCGTTAAACGTTTCTTGTTAATATTGAAATCGTGAAATCTAAATATCATACGACCAATTCCATGGCCCGTATTCTGGCGGCACATTTGATGTAAAAGCGATTGTCTAACTCCCGTCACATTGACGTTAAAGACGACCTTCGTATTAGACAAATAAAATCGAAGCATCGAACGGTCGTATTTTTGTGCGCTAACTGTGCGACGAGAACACGGTCCTGACTATTTATTTATATTTATTTGATGAGTTTGTATATATAAAAATAATCGGGATAAAGAGAGAGAATGTACAAATGAAGTTGAAAGTGAAGTGTGATATGAAGAGCACGAGTGAGTGCAGCAAAGTCGGTTCTCTATAAGAGAAAGACTTGCAAACTGAGTGAGAGCGAAAGATGTTGCTACAAGGGATTGAACCTGACCGATTAATTAGTTAATTAAAGGAAAATATTGTAATAGAATGACAAGAAAGACGGACGAGAGAAACATATATTAGAGCTATATCATCGTTGAATCATCGCGCCACGTGCCATATCATCGCATTATATATATCAGAGAAAGACAGAGTTTAAATATTATTAACTTTAAGTCGTAGAGCTAGATATATATATATGCATATACATATATACAGCGTCACGGAATCACGCGAGAAATCCGGCATGTGTACAGCATTCGTTCGACTAACTGTGATTTGTTGCTGGTCTTTATTCGAGTGATATGATATCCGACGGTATGATTGCGCGGACGAAGGAGCGAATGAACGAATGAATGGAGATATATGAAATGCTTTTTTAATTAAAAAAAAAAAACTGAGTATCATAGAATACTTGGGTATTTAATGGATATCCAAAAATATTCACTGTGTAAATGTTCAATATCAGACTGAACTCTAAGGCTAATAATCGCGAAATAATATAAATGTGACACGCTTGTTCCTTCTTCATTCAATCGCTTCTTCGGATGCTCCTGTGTGTATGCAATTTAATGACGCGAGTACATGTTTTGCTGCACCGAATGCTCGAATATCGACCGATCGCGGTTGCAATCGCGGATCGCGACCGTTTGCTCGTTGTCGAAGACCACGAGGTTTTCGATGTGGCGGAAGACGAGGGAAGAAAACTCAAATCGTCAGCGCGAATTCGTTCATCGTCATCCTCATCGTCATGATAAGCGAGTCACACTCGCGTCGTCACGTCGACACCGCACGAAGCGTCCGTTCGCCGTTGCCCAACCGAATACCCGTTGTAATCTAATTTTTTCGCATTGACAGTACACAACGCACGTGTAAGATATTATCGCATCTCGATCGTGTATTCACAGAATATATTGCACATACGACTTGCACATATTATATACATATTACGAGTGTGTATATACATTATATATATACATGATCATGTGGCCCCCAGCCGACGCTGTCTCATCCCCCCAATTATGATTGAAATTGTTGTAAATTTTTACGATTTTATTAATTCTATTTCAATTTTCCTCGATTGCTCGCAATTCAAAAACATATCTGAAATTCATAATAGCTTGACAGAAAATGTAATATTATGTAATTCTACATATTTTCACTATCAATAATATTTTGCCATTATGATTTATATTATTACATAAAATGTCTCATTAAATAAGCTTTTCTTCAGCTGCAAATTCTTTAATAAAATTTTAATTAAAAATTAAAAAAACATAATGTTGATAAATGTAATTACAACAAATACGATTTTTCTTGTCATTTTTGAAGAAAAATAAAATATAAATTGTTTGCAAAAATCTGCAACAAAGAATCTACAATTAAATGTAGTTAAAGAGAGACTTTGTTAAAATATATATATATTTCGCACTCAAATATCCATAAATGAAAAAATACGAATAATTTGTTTCATGTCAGTTGCGTGAAATTTTATTTCATCAAAAATTTTAAAACAAAAAGAGACAGCTACGGCAGTTTTCGATTTCTAAATGCCCATGGTCTCCCCAAAATTCCGGTATTTCTGCACGCATCCATGTGTTGTCCGCCATGTGTTGTCTATTATAATACGCTGCGCCGTCTTTTTTCCGACTATCGTTCCCCTTTTTCATCTCGACGAAAGTAGGAACACGTAGGCAAGCGAATCGAGCGAGAGGTGCAAAATAAAGATTGAGTAAACAAAATACTTTCCACAGATCATCGTTTTCGGGACAATATTATATGGAGAAGAAAGATGAAATACTCCATTTGTTTAATATGTTGAAAAAGACAGATAGACGGACGTTGGTTTTATGATTACTTCATTGCGTTACGTTGTATCATCGTATACACTTCCGTTGTAAATGTTTAAAAAAAAAAACGTGTTTGCCTATGGTAAAGTTGTTCGCATCGCGAGGAGGAATCGTAGCGGCTGCCTTTTGCTCGATCTCTGATCTTCAAAGGGATCGAAAAATCTCATCGATTCTCGTTGAAACGATTCTATCGATGCCGATTGATTCCCAGTACGCAAGTTTCATCTGTTTCTTTCTAGATAATAATGTAATACGTAGTATAATAAACGTATAATAATAGACGCAATTTAGTTAACGGCGAGTAACGCTAACAAATCGGACAGGTAGAATCGAATCAGAAATACGAGAATGGATTTGTATAAATGCTCGGACGATCAGTAGCCGCTCTATCCTGCCTTCGCGAATTTGTAAAGTATCGAAGTACCGTTGATGCGGATGTAAGAGCGAAGTAAATGAATCGCACGTTTTCGATATATGACAGATTTTTAATTTTGCATTTTCCCTCCCTCATAGTTCATTCGCACAGTTCTCTCGCGCGCGTTCCTCGTTTTGCGATCAATGTACCATATCCAAAGGGTGCTCTTAAAGTGGACAGCGAAATGAAAAGAGAAAGCGTTTACGATGTATTAAAAGACGGTATGTACCGTTAAGTACGGGATAGAAAGGATGGCTTTCTTATCGGGATAAGCTGCCTCAGGGGAAGGTAATCCAGGGACTCTAATAAAACTTATCCGAAATTATCAGTCTGAGATTATTCTACTTGTCGCCAGAGCCATGCCCATGGCCTTCCTTTACTCCATCCTTTGTACATTTTTCATGTAAGATGATCATTATTAAATTAAATTTGCAAGCTAACGTATCTTAGAATATCACAATCTGTCCCCCCAAAAAGGTATACTTATAACAAGATTAGAAGATTATTTTCATGGATAAAAACAGAGATAAAGTATAATTTGTTTACCAATAAAGTTATTTTTCAATTTTGTGTCGATGCATATTAAACATTTTGTTCATAAATATCGGCATCTCAAGAAGAATATTGACATGTAAAGAATTAAATAACATACCACTTTTAGAAAGAGAGAGAGAGAAAAGACAAGAGAGAAGTAAAAAATATAAGATAAACGTACAGATATAAATAACAGATTTTTTAAAACATTTTAGTTTGATTAAATAATTTGGCTATTTTCTCATTTTTCTGTCCGAAAGATAATACGCAGCATGATCATCTGCGATTCAGCAATATGAATCTTATAATACTAGTAAATGCAGTAAGTATTTCAGTTATCTTACCAAAGAATTGATTACTTATCTCAAATCCTAATTTAAAAGCACATCATATACGCATACAAATAACACATTATCACTAACTACTTATTAGAACATTTATTCAGTACTATACATTCTTTCTTCTTGGAAAGACATATACGTATACTGCACAGCAATTAAATTAATGGAATTCCCTTAACTAGTAATAAAGATTTCATTAGGAGCCTTATAAAACTTCTTGTACTCCTTTGCGTATTCTAATTCTTTCTGAAATAATAAATAATAATCATGAGTTTTCTCTGTTGAAAATATTATATCTAAATGACTAATAAATTACTTTCACTGATGATAATACATCTTAAACTTAGTTCAAATGATTCTAAAGTTACAACTGATTAAATTAATGTTGAAGTCAACCAATGCTGACAAAGTTCAAGATGTATTTAACAAATTAAGTATCACAATAATCACAGAGGTTACCTGTAACAATTTCTGATCTGGTATTCTCGGACATGGACCAAATGGATCTTTCGATCCATAAAACCAGTCCGTAGCAAGACTCACATTGAGATGTACAAGCAGCATTACTTGTAATATACTGGCTACCGACTTTACCATTATTATACAGACAAATTAAAAGATAACCAATTTACTCTGACCAAGACGTAACAATGACTGACGTAACAGATGGTCTGTTTTGCACAGCTGTACCTCCTGTACTTTATCGCTCTTCTCTTTTTCTCTTCAATATTTATTTCATATCTGTCTCATTTTACGTGCAGAAAACCTAACCTAACCTAACGCAGATGTGAAGAACAAACTCTACGTCAAAATGCAATGCTGCCAATGTGACAACACTAAAATTTGCTCCTGAATTACATCTATTTAGAATTACTTAAAATACATAAATAAGTTACAAATTTTATATTTCTATCGTCTGCGTTAAGATATTTTAATATTACTTTTAATGTGGAAATCCAGAAATTACATTAATATTTTTCCTTCTATAATATTATTTTCACAATTCTCTCTTTCATTCTCTCTCTCTCTTCAAATTAAAATAAAAACACAAGTTGAAGATCACTTACCATGCACACACATATGATGCACAGCAGCAGAGTTGTAGAAGAAATGAAGATCTGTAAAACACAAATATTGTCAAATTATAATAATGCCGTACTAATTAATAAATGCAAATATAGCAAATAATAAATAAATAATAAATTACTCTCTGGTTGCTCTGTCATTATTTGATGTCCTCTCCAAATCTTCTGGTCATTTCTCTGGCTATTTTTTATGGCGCACTAACACAATATCAGATTCACTCGCGAGAACATAACTCATCACGATCGCGTGCTTATCGATATTAAACACACTCGCGACACGTATTTTATTACATTACGACATTATTTTATTGCGACGTATTTTAATCGCGATCGCGCGACATTCTGCACAGCACTCCCGACTCATATTTTTTCATATGTTGCGAAATCGCACGGCACATTTTACAACACTCCCGACTCGCGATTTTTCATATTGCGATATCGTGCGACATACTGCACAGCGCTCCCGGCGAACACGTTATCAAATTACAACGATCACAACGATACTTTGTACGGCACTCCGAACACTTATTTTGTTATATTGTCGAAGAAATAACGCGAGAACAATGACTACACAAATTTACGAACAATTCGACACTTCTAGCATTCCGTAATGGCGACGAAATTGAAAATCGCGCGAACTTCATACGCTACCCACCGCAGTAATGCAACATCTATTTCTAACTAGACTTTATATAAAAAATAATATATATTTGTGTTACAGAACGTTTAGAGTGTTTTATTATCTCGTATTCTGATATAAAAAAAGTTCAAGTTAAAATCAAATATAAATATTCGCGAAATAAAAGAATGTTTTTACAACGAGAGGGTATTAAAATATTCTAGGAACATTTAATCTGGATTAATGTATCATTCATATTCCTTATTTTGTCGATAGTGAACTTGTCGGAATGAACTTGGCATAAAATAACAGCCAATCACAGCATGTTATGCGAGACAAACGTGAAACGAACTTCTTCTGGCGCCAACAGGTGGCGACAAAGGTACACCGTGCAGAATGGATGAAACCGGCTGGCAGTCGATCGTTGGCCGTCATCGCGCGAGGACGGCAAGATCACCCTTGGTTCAACTGTTGGGTATCCGTTTCGCGCAACGCGATTGGTTAACAGCTCTTCCGCAAGCCCCGCCTACCTAGGTGGCTGTTCGAAAGTGTGTAGTAGTGTTTTCTTACGCCGAAACGACGGGCGCTGTTCTCCTCTCACGGTGTTCAATCGCAGGAAAAATTCGAAATGGGTCGTGTCAGTGCGCTAATATACGACGGCTGAGAAGGAGTCGAGTAAGTCGAAAATCGTGATCGTGTTCGAGGATGCTACACGGGGTGCTGCTGCCACGCTGTGATACCGTGTCCGGGGGGGTCCTTAGCTCCCGAGTCTGGTGTGTCGGAGGTTGAGGAAGAAAGAGAAAGAGAGAGAGGAAGAGAAAGAACGGAGATCGTGCACGAGAGGTGGCGACTGCAGTGGCAGTGGCAGCAGAGGTGGTGCGAGCGTGGTGAGAAGGAAAAACACGTTTCGCGAGGGAACGTCTCGTCTCACGTCGAGAGTTCCGGCTGAAGATATCGGTGTTCGTCGGTGCCGTCCGGCGGTGTTCGTTCCGCGCGCCGTACGGCGCGAACTTCGCGCCCCGCGAAACTTGTCCGATCGACGACAGTGAAAAGGAAAGAAAGGAACAAAAGATAAAGCAGAAAACGGTGAGTGCGAAGAGAGAAGTGCGAGTTGTCGTCGTGCTTCGCTTTACGGGCTGAGCTCGGCTTTAGCAGCCGAGCGAACGAACGAACGAGCGAGGCAACGGAGGACGTCAGCTGTGTGTGCTGCGCCAAGGGGACGTGACTCGTGCGCGAGTGGAAGCAGGATAAGGCGAGCGAGCAAGCGGGACAGTGAGAAGCCGCGCACACGGCCGATATGGGAGACGGAGAAATGGCGCTGGTGCCAGGTGTCCAGTATGGTTTATCATCGCACAGCTATCTCGGCGAGCACAAGGCCATGATCTTCACGAAGCTCACCGACTCAGCGTCCCGTTCCATCCACGAATACATCAAGATCCGGGTGAGTAGTCCTTGTTATATACATAATGCTTTTCGCGTTGGAGAGGCTAGGATTGTCGTTCGCGCGCGCGCGCGCGCGCGGGCTTACCGATTATGTATGTTCGGGCGCTCAAGCGTGTATACTACTGACATACGCGTACGTACATATCTATGTACGTACGTATCGTGTGCGGCAAACTGCGGCGTGTGTGTACGCGCGCGTGGCTGCGTACGTGTGTCGTAATATCGTGCCAAGGAGAGAGAATGAGAGAGACGGCGAAACACTCGATTATCGTGTCGCTCGCCATATTTTGTGCGAAATTTCGTCGTGACGACGTCTTCTTGTCGTCGTCGCCACTTGGGAACTCTTCGACGGGCTCGGTTTTCTCTCTCCTCTCTCTCCCTTCTCCCCTTCTCTTCTCTTCCTTCTCTCTTCTTCCCCATATTCCTCTCTCTTTTCTCTCTCTTCTTGTGATCCGCTCTCCTCGAAGATCACGCTCAAGAGAGGGTCACATTGGCTCTCTTTACAAGCAGCTGCTCTCTCTTTCTCTTTCTTTTTCACCTGCGAGAGAGCCACGAGAACTTTTCACGGGTGCTCACGAAGCCGATAAACTCGAAAATTCGATACGCCCCCGTCTCGGCGTACGGTCTCCCTTTTTGCGGCTTTCGAAGCAGCGAGCGAGCGAGTCGCGCGATGTCGACACGTCTGCTGCTTTGACAACGGCAATTACGTAATATGAGAGCGCGAGAACGAGCCGAGTGAAGCCGAAAAATCACCCCGACGTACGTGTGTAACGAAAACAGATGCATTTTCGCGCTTGCGAAATTTTTTACGCGAGCCTATAAATCCTTATAAATCCTTATAAATAACATCTCTCAGACGTCTCTCACGCAACTTTCTTACAAGAATTCTCCCTACCTCTCTTGGGATACGCGAAAACAGATGAATCATCTTGTCATGTCGTCTCAGTGACAAGATTTCAGGTTAACTACAAGATTTTCAGCGCGCTGTAAATTTTACAGCACCGATTTTTATCTCTTTATAACTGGCCGTTAAACACCGACGGCAATTCGGACCAACTAAATCACCCAGGGACCGTAACAAAATTGTCACGCTTGTTTCTGTTCTTTTTATTTTTTTACGGGCTCTCAAAATACTTTTCTGTCAGTGCGCATTTTCTGTTGTTCTGTTTCGAACCAAGAAGTATGCGGTCTAACGAGCATGAAGCGTTATAAAGCGGTTGCGAATTCTTACATCAGCTGATTCTAACCTCCCGGACGGAGATTCGAAAGTAGAGGAATCGAGGCACGGTGGGGCGTGCCTTCGTCAAAATGCCGCCGTTAAATGCGCGTGAATGCTATCTTCATTCCGAGATCACGAGCCGATGAAAAATTGCATATGCAGTTCTGTTTAAATACTTTGCCTCTTATCGACATTTTTAAAATTTTTTGTTTTATTCTCATTGCATGACTTGTAAATTGATTCGAATTGCGTTCTATACGTCGTAACAACGCACTGGGGAACTACATACCTCGATAAAACAATTTCCCTGTTCGCGCATCGTCGTATATCCATCTGTCATTCGGTGATTACCAAGGAAAGTTTCATATAATCACATTATTGCGACGATATAAATTTGTGCGCTTGAAATAATTGCGAAACGTTAAATCGCGTCTGTTTCAACCAAATTGTTGGTTATTAATTTCATTTTCAATAATGCAAACACATTATTGTTATAAATAAACAGCAATATTACGAAAAACCTTTATATTGTATTATCATATATGTATGCTCTGATATTTCGAATACAGCTGCTATACAAAAACTAAGAATAACAAGAGAAATTTTTATATTTTTTTAATTCTATGTAAAAATATATAGATAAAAAATGTTAAAAAAATTAAACGTAACACAAATCGTGTTTAATAATGTAACAGCTGCTATGCTGAAATTATTTATGCGATAACGAATGACGTCATATCTTACATTAATAAATAACAAAGTAACTTTTCAATTTTTTTCAACATTTATCTTCATGATTGATAAAATATAGTTCAAAAAACTTTATAAATAAAGAACGGAAATTTAAAATCGTTTATTACGTAAAATTGAATGATATTTGCATATTTATTGTAAATCGATACGTTGATAGCAATAAGAATTAATTGCGTGATATCAAGATATAAAAATTACTTATCAAACGTTAAATTTGTTAACATTTTCTACAATGTGCAAAAGACGAAAACAAGCAATAGTAGAAATGAAATACACGACCAAGCATTGTTCTATTTTTCCACTTGGACATTCAGTCCGATATTTAATGGATGCTCGCCAGACAACGCAAACTGCAAAGAATGCAGATAAAGCAATAAACGTGAGAAAGGGTGGGGGAGGGGGAAGATGAGAGGAGAGAAAGAAGGAGAAAACAGGCATATACGCATACGGTCGTTTAAAAGGCAGTGTAAGATTCGAATGCGCGCTCCCTCGGGCTCCCAGGGGCCGGTTCAAGGCTTGTCGTGTTGGCTGCTGTATCCCGTAAGAAAAGGGGCGTTCCCCCTTTGGAAAAGTACAGCTGTCCTTCGAAACTCGACTAACTCGAACCCGAAGGAACGGGGCTACAACGGCGGCTTGTATATTTTACAAGCAAAGAGAGAATCCGTCCATCCCTCTTTACTATCCTCTCCTTTATTGCCTAGCTCGTTAATCTGAGTGCTTGCTAAATGTATTGCCGTGGTTCGAATTACTATTTCAACCTGACTGAAATGTTACATGTTATGTTGAATGCGCGACTTAACTTTTGGTGCAATAGCATTCCTCAAGATTTATTTATTCAAGGAAGTATTACACAATGTGAAATTTTTCAAAGTTGTATTTTGAATAATAGAATAATAATGTAATGATAAACAAGAATAATTTTTAGCAGAATTCTACGATTTTTATTTATTACTTGGATATAAATTTATTTTTAAGTTTTAGAAATCTTCCTCTTCCTTATAGCTTGTACAAATAATAAATTCATAAATTTCGAAATATTTTTAATATGCAAAATAGTTGTCAGACGTGTTCTCAAAATTTTTAATGAAAAGCGAGTTTAAATGAGGGCCAGCTGGGCTTTTGTTGTCCATTATAGCGATCCTTTTCAACTGCCCCATCTTCATCGTATCCACTCTTTCGTTTCTTTCCTTCCCCTTTCGTTTCTTTCCTTCTCCCCTTCCGTTTCCACGTCGTGCCCTTCGCAAACTTTGTTTCGTTGTTCCTCACATCTCCGCTTGCCTGCATCAAGTGACACAACATCTGGCGTTACGTTTTGCCAACGTTGTTGCATGGCGAGAAAAAAAATAGCATTTTTCAAAAAATTATAAAGATAGATAAGACGAAAGTCCGAACAACACCGATCGTAAATAATACTCGATACGGCTTATCGCGAGATATCTAGTTCCGGGAACGACATTTAATTATGAAAATAAATTGCGATCAAGCATTTACTTGTGTCAATCCAGGAATTCCACAATATTCGTTTTTCTCTCTCGCGCAAAAATAACTCAATGCTGCCAGGACACATAGCGCGGCGAATGGAAAGTTGAATGATAATGACGCTTGAGATGCATTCCTCGCGGCATAAAGTACACATCGGCGTCGTTAGTTTCAGCAGAGAGAGAGAGAGAAAGAGAAAGAGTGAGAGGGGGGATAAAGAGACAGAAAAAAAAGCGTCTCACCTCGTAATCGCGCTATTAAATTGGCGACTTATATACGCCAAATGCCTTCAATTTACGCTCGGTATAGAATAAATTATGCGAGGTGAAAGTGAATGCCGGCTACGCAAGTAGTCGGAGCAGGGAAGGTTTTCGGCGCGAGAGGGGGAGGCACGCTTCAAAAAGTAACGCCGGTCGTTGAAAACCTTGAAAGTGTGCAAAACCAACTGGTCTCCGGCGACTCCACTGATTTATATTTATCCGACGTATATAATATATGCATTATTGTGGAAACAGGTGGAGACGTGTCGTAAAAAGTTTATTGTTTTGTTAAACAAATCCACATATACGTGGGAGAAGGGGAGGCCTCGCGCCGTTATAAATATCACTCATTTATTCTGCGATATTTTTTTTCCTGCGAAATGCAAAATTGCAACAATAAGCATTCGCAATCTACCTCAAATTACGCATTTAAAAGGAAAATTTAGGAGCGCTTTTAAAAAGATCTTTATGCAATCTACATTTATTGTCAACGATATTACTATTAGTATGTTATTATAATATATTATTTACATTAATAGTATATTGATGATAAATATCGGCCATCGGCTATATTTATTTATTTTGAATTCCCAAATCACAGAATTAATTCGTATTTAATACCGGCTTGTTTAATGAATTTATTTTATGAAAAGCTACTGAACGCAGCACGAAATAACTTTTACGATTGTTATGTACTTGGATCTTATCGTCGACATATTATTTTACGATTGGTTGACAGTTTAGCTTTTATCTCTCAACAATAACATGTTCAAACTCACTTGCGCTATTACAATAGCTAGGCGATGAAAAACGCGTTTTGTAAAACGTTAAAGCCCAATCTACAATGTGCTTTTTTATTTTTGTTTCCTGCCTTTTCATCTTCACGTAAAGGCATATTTTTCTTCGGAAATTCAGAAGGGAAAAATTGTAAATCACAGTGTTTCTTGGCTCCATGCGACAAACATAAAAAGCATAAATACGAAAGGCAGAAAGCAAGAAACAATACGCAAGAAGCACATTGTAGATCAGACCTAAGCGACCGTGGTGCAACTGCATTTTTCTTTTTCCTTTTTTCCAAGGCCGTGTATCACGTATCGATCACCTAATACACTCGGCAAGGAAGCATGACTGACGGGCGAAATACGTAATTTAGCCACTTGTCAATTAGCGTAGTGATTAACGTTATTATATCTGTGTGCGATAGTGTCACGTGAACATGTCATTGTGCGCTTTTAGAGCGGAAATATATGTTCGCGCTGCAGGCGGTGTTTAATGGCATATTTTAAT